TTGGTGTTGGGGAGGAAGTGAGAGGAGCACAGGAGGAGAGGGTGGGACAGAGGGTGAAGCAGTCCAGGCTTCAGCTGTCTCCAGCTGGGATATTATCCCAACTCCACGTTCCCAGTCATTGGCTGCCTGGGGGAGCTCTGTGCTCTGCACTACCATCCCTCTTGTTCCCAGAGGGCAGGGCTGAGCACAGAGCCTGGCACAGCTGCCTCCCTGTGTGCCCAGTGCCCGCTCATTCCAGGGCACAGGAGTGCCAGGGAGGGGGCTGCCTCCCTGTGTGCCCAGTGCCTGCTCATTCCAGGGCACAGGAGTGCCAGGGAGGGGCTGCTGCAATAAGGCTCTGCCTGGCCTGATGGAGAGGGCAGGAGCTCTCTGTGAGCAGGGATGTTTCCCCAAAGGCTCTCCCGGTTGGGATGGACCCACAGCACCCTAAATCTTTTCAGGAGAGGCTGGCTGTCATCTGGCTGATTGGAGCTGCTAATGGATTGCTGCTTTAATTGCCCTAGCAGTGTGGGCTCCAGGAGAGCTGGAGAGGGACTGGGGACAAGGCATGGAGGGACAGGAGCCAGGGAATGGCTCCCACTGCCAGAGAGCAGGGATGGGTGGGAGATTGGGAATTGGAAATGTTTTATGGGAAGGTAGTAAGGCTCTAACACAGGTTTCCCAGAGAAGATCCCTGGATCCCTGGAAGTGCCCAAGGCCAGGTTGGACAGGGCTTGGAGCAGCCTGGGCTTGTGGAAGGCATCCCTGCCATGGCAGGAGATGAGCTGACCTTTCCCTTCCAGCCCAAACCAGCCTGGGATTCCATGATCCCATGTCTGCTCAAATATGTTTAGCTGAGCTCCTGACCAATTTAAAAGCTTTGGAGCGACCTCTGGTTCAGCTGTTTGGGTAATCTCTGAGTTTGGCATCAGAACAGGACCTTTGGGATCTGTGGGAATTTGGTGGTCTTGCAGGATGAGACTGCCCTGAGTATCCAAAAACCGGTGGGGAAGCTGGGAGGTGCTAGGTGGGGTTGGTGTTGGGGAGGAAGTGAGAGGAGCACAGGAGGAGAGGGTGGGACAGAGGGTGAAGCAGTCCAGGCTGTCTCCAGCTGGGATATTCTCCCAACTCCACGTTCCCGGTCATTTGCTGCCTGGGGGAGCTCTGTGCTCTGCACTACCATCCCTCTTGTTCCCAGAGGGCAGGGCTGAGCACAGAGCCTGGCACAGCTGCCTCCCTGTGTGCCCAGTGCCTGCTCATTCCAGGGCACAGGAGTGCCAGGGAGGGGGCTGCTGCAATAAGGCTCTGCCTGGCCTGATGGAGAGGGCAGGAGCTCTGTGTGAGCAGGGATGTTTCCCTAAAGGCTCTCCCGGTTGGGATGGACCCACAGCACCCTAAATCTTTTCAGGAGAGGCTGGCTGTCATCTGGCTGATTGGAGCTGCTAATGGATTGCTGCTTTAATTGCCCTAGCAGTGTGACAGAGCATTCCTTAGGGATGGAAGGAGAGCAATCCGGAGCTGTGGATTTATGGCACTTGGGGAAAAATTATTTGCAAGCTCAGTAAGTCTTTATTTTTCAGCTGTAACAGCTAAAGGTTGATTATTCCTTCAGTGAGCACAAAGGCTGGATGTTGTAGTGTCCAGGAAGATGATTCTTGTCACCTCCTCCTGCCTAAAATGCTGGGGCATCCCCACTCAGCAGGAATATTGTGTCACCCTTTCCACCCTGGCACATCATCCAGCAACCTCATGTGCAAGACCAGTCAGTGAGCAGGAGAATAAAAATGAGCAGAGCCACTGTTCTGTGTGCTTTACCCTTCCCCCTGGTCTTTTTGGGATTGCTTCAAACCTCCACGTTTTTAGCTAAGCTGAATTACAGTTTATGAGAGAGGGAGAAAATAAATAATAAATTGCACAAAAAATTAATTCACAGGAGCTCAAAGTATAAAGGCTGTGAAGTAAGCAGTGAGTTTTTCATTGCCTTGAATAATGTAATTATCTGGAAAAGCCTGTTTCTTTCAAATTACCAAATCTGGTGTCACTTGAACTCACTGAAGCCCCACTTGACAAAGTTCCTCTGTCTCCCAGAGGGTTGTGGGGCTGGGGTTAGGTAAGGGTGGGATTGATTATTGGTCCTCAAATGTTAGGTGTGATACTGTGGGCACAGGTGATAGCCCCAAATGACCAGGCTGCTGCTGGTTGTTTGATAATAATAAATACAATAATAAATAAAGAAGTTAAAGGGTCTTTTTAGAGAATCCCAGAATCACCAAGGTTGGAAAAGCCCTCCAAGATCGAGTCCCAGCTGTGCCCAAACCCTCTCCTTGTCCCCAGCCCAGAGCACTGAGTGCCACATCCAGTCCTTCCCTGGACACCTCCAGGGATGGAGACCCCACCATTCCCTGGGCAGCCCCTGCCAGTGTCTGACCACTTTTTCCATTAAAACATTCTCCCTTCAGGAACATCCTGATGTACAAAAAAAGATGGGAAATGGCTTTCCTCTTTCCTTTCCTCTCATTCCCTATTGCAGTTTCAGCAAGTAGGAGCTGTCAGAGCAGAACTCACTGCACTTGGTGCTGAGCAGACAGCAGTGTTTGTGTTGGATTGTTAGGCAATATTCTGTCAATATTCCACAATATTTCTGGCAATAAATCTGATCTCCAATCAAACATTTCAAACAGAACCCAAAATTCAATACGAGTTTGGCTCCTTTTCTGCCCCTCTTGCTGCTTTTTGCAGAATGGTGCCTGATTTTCAGTGTGATGCTGCAACTCAGCACCCTGTGAGTCACAGTCCTGGGGCTGCATCCTCCAGATAAGGCACTGGCTGTTGGGAATGACTTGGGAGAGCCGGGATCATGCGGCTGTGATTGTACCAATCCCTGGCACTTGGCACACGGGCACGGCTCAGCCTGGCACGGAGAGCAGCCGGGGGTGGCCTGGCAGCATCAGCTGCTCTGCCTGAGGCTGCTTTGTTCTGACAGCAGTAAATCACTGTTCAGCACGCACCAGTGCAAACCAGCATGGGCACTGCGTGTCCAGCACGGGGATTGGGTTCCCTCACTGAGGTTAAATTCCCTCACTGAGCTGGGCTGGATCACATCAGACCTGAGTGAGTAAAAAACCAGCGGTGCCCCAGCCCCGGTGTGACACAGCCAGGGCAGTGCCCGTCCCTGTGCTGGGGACAGCTCTGGGACAGGCTGGCCCAGGGTGGGCACAGCAGGAATTTCCCCGTGGAAAGGGGGCTCAGGCACTGAGAGGTGTCTGCAGGAGGCCTGGCCAGGCGCTGTGACTGCCGAGTTCCTGCTCTTGCTCCATCCCGGAGGAAGCAGAAGGAAGAGCAGGATGTGCAGCTTCCCAGCTGGGAAGAGCTGAGCTGCTGCCAGCTCCTAATGCCACTGTTCAGCCTGGGGATGCTCCACGTGTTCCAGCTCAGGACCCTGAACTCTGCATCTTCCCAGCCCTTCCCAGCCCTTCCAGCGTTCCCTGGGTGCAGGGTGTCCTGGAAGGAATTTTCTGCTGTGTTTAAAATCACGGCTGTGGGTGAAACTCCTATTGGCAAACCCTGTTCTTGTCCTGGAGGAAATCTGCCTTTCCCCAAATGAGTATGGAACAAGGAAAGAGCACAGGCTCATCAGTGGTTCTGAGCCAGCAGAATCCTGAGGGATGTGGATCCACAGGGATGGATGTAGATCCACTGGGATGGATGTGGATCCACTGGGATGGACGTGGATTCACAGGGATGGATGTGGATCCACAGGGATGGACGTGGATCCACAGGGATGGATCCACAGGGATGGATGTGGATCCACAAGGATGGATCCACTGGGATGGATGTGGATCCACAGGGATGGACGTGGATCCACAGGGATGGACGTGGATCCACAGCAGTAGACAGGGATCCACAGCAATATTTAAGAATATGTGCCTTTGGATGGATGTGGATCCACAAGGATGGATCCACAGGGATGGATGTGGATCCACAGGGATGGACGTGGATCCACAGGGATGGATCCACAGGGATGGATGTGGATCCACAAGGATGGATCCACTGGGATGGACGTGGATCCACAGGGATGGATCCACAGGGATGGATGTGGATCCACAAGGATGGATCCACAGGGATGGACGTGGATCCACAGCAGTAGACAGGGATCCACAGCAATATTTAAGAATATGTGCCTTTACATGAACAGTAAGAATATTGACTGCTACAGTGCCTGTGCTGCAGGATATAAATCAATGTAAGAAAAAAAAAAAAAAAAAGGATATAATTCTCTGAGTGGCTCTGTTGGAACACAGAGAGCCACGGATTGATCAGGAGTAAATACTCTCTGTTTTGCAAGGTTAAAACTCTGTTTTTCCACTGACCCCACACACTGACCCCAGTGGGATGCTGGAGTCAGGCTGGTCTCTATAAAGAGAGGAGCCACTCCACCCTTCAGGGCTTGCCAGGTATCCTGAAAAATGTCCGAAAAATGTCCAAAAAATGGCAAAAATCCAACTGTGGCAGCACCTTCTTTCCCCTTGCAGGCTGATGCTCCCTGCTGCTGCCTGAACATGCTGCTTTCGTGTCATATCAATACAGAGCTGTTGAGCAGCTTTAATAATGTCATTTTTGCCACTTTTCCCCCCTGGAAGCCCGGAAGAAAGCTCTGTGTGAGTGAGAACAAAGCCCTTACACAACAGAGCATATTCATGGGGAGGGATGATTCAAGCCAAGCTTTGTAATTCCTTAATTATATTTGATGTGACCTAACCCTTGACAATCCTGAGTCTGAGGCTGTCAAACAGGATATGAATATTGTAAAGACTTTTGGACAGTGCCCAGAGCTGAGCTGGATTTTACTGTGTCAGTAAGAAAGTGAAGGAGAGAGGTTTTCTCAGCATTTTTGTCTTTGTAAAACTCACTCCAAAAAATACCAAGAAACCAGTTACTTCTAAAGCATTTTTTAAATTTGACTGGGGAGGGGGTTTCTGTTCCTTACCTGTGTTTTCTTAGTGACCTGGCTTTCCTTTCAGGGCTCAGCAGATTCGTACACGAGCAGACCCTCAGATTCTGATGTCTCTTTGGAAGAGGACAGGGAAGCAATCCGCCAGGAAAGGGAGCAGCAAGCAGCCATCCAGCTGGAGAGGGCCAAGGTGAGTTCTCCCCTCTAAGTCACGGGCCAGCTGCCTTCTGCCTGCAGGTGGAATTCACACTTTCTTTTGAAATACTTTGGCAGTTGAGTCAAAGTATCTGCAGAGAAGGTGTTTGGGGAGTTTAGTGTAAATATTCTCCTCTAAATGGGGATATTCTCCAGGGAGCTGAGCTCTGCTGGCCTGGGTGAAATCATTAGGGCTGAATTTTTATGGATGAGAAGTTCCCAGTGTTTTTTATGTGGTTTTTTTTCTGTTTTTAGTCCAAACCAGTAGCATTTGCTGTCAAGACCAACGTGAGTTACTGTGGGGCTCTGGATGAAGATGTTCCTGTCCCAAGCACTGCCATCTCCTTCGATGCCAAGGACTTCCTCCACATTAAAGAGGTAAAACCCAGCAAAAGGGGATGGGAAAGGGAATCTTTCTACAGGCCAAGGGCTTTGATTTGATCAGCTGAACCATACCCAAGAGGGCACAGTGAGGAGAAGCTGGTTCTTCATCCCTCGTGGAGTTCCTGCACCCTGGGGTGCTTGTCCTGCCCTTCTGGAGCACTTGGTGTTGCCAACATGTTGGAATTTCATCACACAGGAAGGAAATAATACCCTTTAAAGTGGTGGGTTCAGATTCTTTTCATCAGAACCAGTTTGTGATGGATCAGGATGGTGCAGGAGAAAGGGATTCCGTGGAGCACTAAGGATTCCATGGAGCAGCACCAGGTCATGCCAGGTCTTCCAAAAAACACCAGATAGGCTCCCTTCCAGAGAGGAAGTAACACTTAGGATAATGCAGTAAGCAAAGAAAATCCTGAAGAGGACAGATGCAAAAATAAGGGAAAAAATGGGATAAATGAGCCCTGAGTATGGCTTTGGTAGAGAAAATTGCATTTTATTGCATGCTGAGCATATTTTATGCAATTTTTTATCTGAAGTGAGCCCTCCACATTTGCATAACCCCCTGTTGTGCTGTGGATTGGTACAGAGGCTTGCAGCTTGCAAAAGCACTTTTTCATCTCTGCATTTTGGGTTTATTTTGGGGTGTTCAGTGCTCATCTGTGTCTTTCTTTGAACACGTGTTCATCATCACTCCAGAGCACTGATCTCCCTTAGACAGAGCACATTCAGGAGGAAAACACCTGCTGCTGCCCCTCCTCTGGTGCTGGAACAGGGAATTGCTTCACACCCCCTCTCCCTGAGAGGGAAAGGCAGAAAATTCCCTTTTTCCGGTTTTTAATCTTGGTTTTCCTGGACATGGCCACCTTTATTGTCAGGGCACTGACTGAGTTGCACACTCCAAGCTCCTGTCATGCTGCCTTGTACATTTTTCCAGACAAGTGTCCCAAATCCATGTCTTGGCATTCCATCAGTTGTCTCCCAAGGTCTAAAAACCCGGGATCACACTGCCACTGAGCTGGAAACCATCTGGGTACTGGTGTTTGTCAGCTCAGCCTCCCTGGAGCTGGAACTCAGCAGGATTTGGGGAATGGCTCCCCATGCTGCAAAAAGGCTTGGCAGGATTTGTTTTTCAGTGATTCCAGGTTTTGGAATGTTGCTGAGCTGGGTACAAAGTCAGGTCACCCTCTGGCAGGATGGAGCAGAGGCAGTGAGTGAGGAGCTGCTATTTTGAGGCTGTGTCCTGTATGTCTCATCTGTCTCCTCCAAACTATACATTGTGTGCCTGCTTAAAGGATGGAATGGCAACAATTCCTGACAGAGCAGAAGGAATCATGGGCATGGCAACCAGGGGAGGGAACGTGCTCCTCCCACACACAGAGTGACAGAGGGGAGGGGATGACCTAATGCAGATAAATCCTGTGTTCCTCACTGCAGCCTTGGCATTTGTGTGTTCAGGGGCTCTCAGCAGAACCCACACTGGTTTGGGATGGAATGGACCTTAAATGGCCAGGGACATTTCCACTGTCCCAGGCTGCTCCAAGCTCTGTCCAGCCTGGCCTTGGGCACTGCCAGGGATCCAGGGCAGCCACAGCTGCTCTGGGCACCTGTGCCAGGGCCTGCCCGCCCTCCCAGGCAGGAATTCCTCCCCAGAATCCCATCCATCCCTGCCCTCTGGCAGTGGGAGCCATTCCCTTGGTCCTGTCCCTCCATCCTTTGTCCCAGGTCCCTCTGCAGAGGGGCTGATTCTGATCCCATGCCTGGAGGCATCACTCAGAGGTCCATGAAGAAAGATTCCCACGGTCAGGCTGTACCTTTAGAGCCAAAGTGGATCAGGCAGTGCCCTTGGCACTCAGGTTTTGCTGGGATTGGTTTTGTAAAGTCAGACTGGTTTGGGTTGGAAGGGACCTTAAAGCCCATCCAATGCCACCCCCTGCCCTGGGCAGGGACACCTCCCACTGTCCCAGGCTGCCCCAAGCCCTGTCCAGCCTGGCCTGGGACACTGCCAGGGATCCTGGGGACTCCACAGCCTCTCAGTTCACTCATTTCCAGCAGCAGGATGCTGAATCCTGAAGGATTTGTCTGGTTCACAGACTGGAAGTAATTGTGTAACTTAACATACTTCAAATAAAGCTTTGCTCACTGCCACTGTGTGAATCAAAGTCAGAACAGCAGGAGGAATAAATACTTAGTTGGAATGATCAAATCATGGAACCTCTTGCCTAAATATATGTTAAAGAGGATAAAGAGGTTTTTCAGCATATGAGGATTGTATTCCCTTAGTTTTTATTACGTGCTAATATTTATGATTGGGCTAATGTTCAGATATCTGGGTTGATAAAAACCCATTTATTTTTCAGGGCTGATGTTTCAGAGTCATCACCAGGCACTGCTGCACCTTTGACAGCAGGGCCTCGGTGTTTCTGTGTCCCTGCAGGAGCTGAAGTGCTTGCAAATGTGGAGCCAGGAGCAGGGATGATCTCGAAGATGAGATCTCTGTGATGGCTTTTTCCTCGAGGCAGGCAAACAAAACCCATTCACTCGTGCTGCTCTTAATGACTCCAGAGTCAGTAGTGAAAAGCAATGTTTCTTTTGAACACCCAGCTGCCTAATGAAGCAGAACAGAGGAGAGGCTTTTCAGATACTTTTCTTCAAAAGCTCTGCTGCCAGCAGCTACAACAGATCCTTTTCCACTCCAATATCTACCAGGATCTTGCTTTTCATTTTGCCATCATTAGGGACAGACCAGACTTTCAATAAAGCAGAAGAATATATGTTACTAAAGGTCAATGAAAAAATGCTATGCTTTAGGTATATATTGAAGTTTCTTCCTAAAGGTGAATTTTTCTTCATCTGTCATAACCTGTTAATAACATTCCTACAAATACCTGGAGAGGAGGAAGGGAAAGTGGTGATCTTTTGTCTAGACCATTAAATATGACAAGCAATATTTGATGGGAAGCTGGAGGTGTTATTTTTATGTTTGCTGCTGGGAGGTTGTGTGGTGGCCTCAGCTCAAAGAAATGGGTTCTGCTCATTAAATCAGCCTTGAAATTAAATCAGCAAGGGACAGGATGAGGGGAAACAGCCTCGGTGCTCTGCTCTCACACATGAGCCTGGTTCATTATCCAGAGTGGAGTTAAGGAGTGTGGGTAACTGTTGGGAAGGATGAAAGTTTGACAAGAAAGTCTCACAGATGTGTGTGCTTGGCAGAAAGCTCTCTGATGCAGAACCTGAGAACGAAATAGAGATGGAAGCAAGTTGTGATCTAGAAGAATTACAGATGTGTAAATTGAGGATTGCTGAGCCAGTCTTGCTGGACAGCTAAGAAGGCAAAGGTTATGTCAGGTTGGAAAGAGGCTTTATGACTTTGAGCAAAGGATAAGCTGACCACAAACAAAAAGATGTTTTTACCAACAGAAAGATACCACAGGCAAACAAGACATGTTGGTGTGGCAAGTAGAGAAAAGGTTTAAGAATTTCCGCTGCAAGAAAACTAAAAAACAACTTTAAGCTTAAACTGTAACACATTAACTCGTGTGATTGGATAGTATTGACCATAATATGTTAATGATAGTAGTCATGATAGGCTGTAGGTAAAAGTAAAGGTATAGAAGTATTAAGATGCTCAGCAAAGAAAAGTGTATAATGCAATGAAACCAAAATCAAAGGGTCCCCAGGCCTGCCTGCAGCTGGAGCTGACAGCTGTAGGCGTGGCTCTGTCCCCCACGACCCTGCACTGCTGTAACACCTCGGAGGGAATTTGGGAGCTGGAGTGGGCAGGAGCCTTGCTGTGTTGCAGAAGTACAACAACGACTGGTGGATAGGGAGGCTGGTGAAGGAGGGCTGCGAGATCGGCTTCATCCCGAGCCCGCTGCGCCTGGAGAACATCCGCATCCAGCAGGAGCAGAAGAGGGGCCGCTTCCACGGAGGGTGAGCACGCCTGGCCTTTGCAAAGCCCCTCAAATCCTTCCTCAGCCCGGGCAGTATCTCCAAAGGTCACCGCTGCTGCTTTATTGCAGGGCGTTTGCAGCGTTGGGTTTGGGATCCCGGTGGGAGTACGGATTTGCGGGGAGCGGGAGATGTCGGTGATGAGAAACAAAAATGGGTTTGACTTCAGGGAAGAGCAGTGAGGGATAATGATAGGAGTTCCTGAGAGTTTTGTCTGCCTGTGGCCTTAAGTCAGCTTGGGTTCAAAGTCTCCCAGATTTTTCCCAGCTTTTCTTAGGTTGTGGGTTTTTTCTTCCTTTTTTTTTTTTTTTTTTTTCCTTTTCTCTCCATTTTGGCCCAAACCAGACTTTGTAAGATCAGCTTTGCCATCCTTTATTCTTCATCTTCCAGCCTGAGGTTTTTGAATCTCCACCCTGCCAGACCTGGAGATTGCAAATCCCTGGGAAAAGATCTGGGAGATAAACCTGGGAAATGCTTTCAGAATGGTTGAACAGCATCCAAATTTCTTCTACAATTTTTGACACAGCTTCAGGGGCAGCCAGGGGATCTCAATATACAGAGAAATTACTGAGTTCAGTGATATGCTCCTGGATTTTATGATAAAATTCCATATTATAATGATAAAACATTTAATATTTAGCTTTTATAGTTAGAGTCATTTATGCTTGTATGACCTTGTGATTCCTCATGGGACAATTCCTCCCCAAAACCTGCCACGTTTTGGGGTGCCTGGTGTTAATGGGGGTCTTTCTGCTGCTGCAGGAAATCCAGTGGCAATTCTTCTTCAAGCCTTGGAGAGATGGTTTCTGGCACATTTCGAGCCACACCTACAGCCACAGGTAAGACAGGATTTATTCAAGGAAACCCTTGCTAATAATTCTGTTTAGAAACCCTACATGAGAAATGCAGGTTGTCCCCTTTGCTGAGTTACTGAGATGTTTTCCAGCGAAGTGTTTGCATGCACAGGGGAGGAGGACAGCTATTCCCAGCCTGCAGGAGTTGCTGAGGGCTGGGAAAAGTCCTTGGGAACATTGGCAGCTCCCCAATTTAATGCACAGATTGCCCAGTTAAATGTATATAATGCTCAGTTTAATGCACAGAATGCCCAGCTTAATGCACAGATTGCCCAGTTAATATATAGAATTACCAGTTTAATGCACACATTTCCTAGTTAATATATAGAATGCCCAGTTTAATGCACAGATTTCCCAGTTAATATATGTAATGCCCAGTTTAATGCACAGATTTCCCAGTTAATATATATAATGCCCAGTTTAATGCACAGATTTCCCAGTTAATATATATAATGCCCAGTTTAATGCACAGATTTCCCAGTTAATATATAGAATGCCCAGTTTAATGCACAGATTTCCCAGTTAATATATGTAATGCCCAGTTTAATGCACAGATTGCCCAGTTAATATATGTAATGCCCAGTTTAATGCACAGATTGCCCACTTTGGTCAGGCCTGAGCAGAGGGAGGTGCTCAGACAGAAATCAAAGTGCTTTGGCAAAGGGATTTCTGGTCGCCTGGGTGTGTTTTAACCAAGTTCTCATTTGGTCTTCTAGCAAAACAGAAACAAAAAGTGGTAAGTAATGCTTTTGTTTCCATTTGATTTCCTCCTAGTTCATAATTGCCAGGATTTCCCTATGGGTTTGTTTGACTGATGATCTGAAGGGTTGTTTTTTCCCTCTAGACAGAACACATTCCCCCCTATGATGTAGTGCCATCAATGAGACCTGTGGTGTTGGTGGGCCCATCACTCAAAGGCTATGAGGTATGGACTGAGGTGTTTGCAATTAATTCAACTTTCATTATCTCTGATCATCCTCAGTAATTCTCTGTGTGGCTCAGTGCAACTGGTTTATGATAATTTCAAGTGATTTGGCTTAAATAATCACCAAAATGTTCTGTAAGAGCTAAGAGTTACTTCTGACTTGTACTGTTTTAAGCACAGTGCAAATCCATTCTTTTCAATGCACTCATTCCTGATTAAATCAAGTAAAAAAGAGAATTTGTGTCTGCTACAAGAAGTCAAATTAATGAGCTGGACTCTACACAGGAAAAATGTTCATCAAACCAGCCCATGCTTTGAACTTAATTAGCAAAACATTGGAAGGAGCTTCCTTGTTGTTCTCCTTTTTTCACTTTACTAATAAATTCAACTATTTTGCAAAGAAACTTTTAACCCTCCTAAAAGATTGCCCAGGTGGGAGTGGGCAGGATAACGTGCCCAGATAACCAGGACAGCCTTTTTTAGGCTGCTGCAGGTTCAAGTGAGCATTTACCATGTGCTAAAACAAGCAGAGCCTTTTAGCAGGGCAATTCAGGGAGCTCAACCATCTGGGAAGTGCTGAACCAGGAACTAAATGAACATAAAATCAAAGGTACACTTCATTAAGCTTAATTAATGTTGTCAGTAATGTATAGGATATTATTAAACATATTGGAATGGTTCTTTTTGGGAGGTGACAGGCCTGGCATAATGCAGTGTTCTGGCATTGTTTTTAGTGAGAGTGACTGAAGGTGCAGCTCAGCAGAGCAGGTACTTCATGTTCTGCTCTCTGCCTTTTAATTTGATGGGGAAGTTTTTTGACAGGAGTAAATTCCCTCTGTGCTGCACCACAGATCAATTTACCTCAGGAGTTTGGAGGGAGAGAGGCTGTTTGTCCATAGAAACCTCTTCAAATCTGCCACCCTGTCTCTTTTTTTTGAATAGAACAACACCAAACACAACACCTTGAACATACAAACGTGTGGAAATGGTAACACAGAATATTAAATTCAATAACAAAAATTCTTGATCATATTTGGGGTGATTTATTTTGACTGTTTTTCCTGGCTAAATGCTGAAGGATTCAGATGGAAAGAGGGAAATAAACTGGCAGAGAGGCCTGGGGGCTTTGATGAAGCTGCTGCCTGGCCTGGCAGGTAATAATTGTCAGCCTGAGCTGTCCTGCAAAGCACAAGGAGCTGCTCAGAAATCAGAGGGCAGAGATGGCAGCTCAGCTGTGTTGCCAGGCCCAGCAGTGGGAGCAGCCCATTTTTCTGCTGTCACCCCTCTGTGAGAGCAGTGCCCAGCAGGACAGCTCTCCTCCCTGGGCTTTGCAGCCCACTGTAGCAGTGCCCAGAGCCCTGCCCAGCACACATCCCCGTGGCTGTGCCCTGCTGTGAGTCTGGGAGCAGTGCTGGATGTGCAGGGCTGAGGAGTGCTCAGGGCAGGAGCACACCCAGGGACAGCTCTGCACCCGGGGCAGTGAGTCAGGAAACTCCCAGGGAATTATTGCTGTGGCAGGACGTGGCACTGGGATGGTTCTGCCCAGCAAGGGTGTGGATTGTTGGCTGTATCCCTGCCTTCTACTCACCTCTTTCCTTCCTTTTGGCTTCTTTCTCTCCCTGTCCATCCCCCTGCTCAATCTTCTCCCCTCTGCCAAGGTGACAGACATGATGCAGAAAGCTCTCTTTGACTTCCTGAAGCACAGGTTTGATGGGAGGTGAGAAACTCTGTCCTTCTCATGCTGCTTTGCCCATGTGTTACTAACATTTCAGTCAATTATTTTCTTTTTTTCATGCCAGAGGGTTTGCTGCATGATCAAAGCTGATTTTCTGGCTTTGTGTCACCACTGAAGAGTGGGACACAGCTCAAGTGTTACTAGGGGTGCACATGTCTGCATTTCTGCCATGGCTGGGCTAGGATTTCTTAGTTTAACACAAGAATTCTGTCTCAGTGTCTTCCCAACACCTCAGAAAAATCAGCTCTAAAATATTCCTTATATAAGATTTTATTTTGACTGCCTTAAGTAGGCAAAAATACTGAAAAGGGTGGTTGGAAGAAGGAAATGCTGAGAAATAAAGCACAGAAAAACAATTCTAAGGGTTCATTTCAGCTGGAGCATTTCCTGGTGAGCTGTAGAGGATAATTTGGATTTCCTTGCTAGGAGCACTGGCTTGGTCCATGGCATCACCTCAGTCCTTGTAGGTGTCTGCTGCATCTTTGGGATGTTCTGCCCTTCCCAGTGAGTTCAGGATATTCCAGCTGGGAAAAGAGGCTGTTCTGGTAGCACATAACACAGCCAGGTTTGAAATACCCAAACCACCAGGGAGGGGAAAATGATGTTCTGTAGAAGAGCTGGAGCGGGATTTATGGATTTTAGGAGCGAGGAGGTGGCAGTGCTGAACTGATCCCTAAACAGCTCAGAGAGAACATTTAATGATCAACTTCTGTGCAAAGTCTCTCCTCTCCTGCCCTGTCCCGAGCTGCTCAGCTCAAGTGATTTTCTGGAAGTCCTAATTCCATCAGCAGTATTGGCAGCTGGATCAGGTGGGAGTGTGAAATTTCAGCAGTGGAGAGCTCAGTGCCACCAGCAGCCTGAGACCATTGATTTTAGCTCTGAGGAACTCAGGAAAAAGCTGCTTCTTGGTCCTTCTGCCAACTTTCATGGCTTTGTGGTCTTTCTCCTCCCTCCCTTTTCTTTCTTCTTTCTTTCTTTCCATCTCTTCTGCAGTTCTGGGAGAGGTCCACGTTACCAAGGAAGGAGCTGAGTGCCCATGGAAGAGCCTTTCCAGAGGCATCAGAGAGACCTGACTCCTTCCCTGCCTCTGAATTCCCTTGGCTTTGCCAGCTCCTTCCTTTGTACCTGCAACCTCCCCTGCTGGCCAGTGAGCCCAAGACCCACAGTCCATTCATTTCTGTTTTAAACTCATTTTTACTTTTGGCCTCCACTGTCTGCATTTATTTATGTATTATGCAGAAAAATGACTGCACTTTTTAACCCTGCAGCTGAAAATTCCACTTACAGCTGCATAAATCTTAGGTTCTGTGCAGAAGCTGCTGGTCATTCCCAGGTTGCTTTCTTTCCATTTTTCCTGGCTCCTTGGCTCATCCCAGGCCTCTAACTGGATTTTTTACATGAAGGCATCGTGTGGTCCTTGCTTTGTAACATTTTGTGTCTTTCTAACTCACTGACAGATGAAGTAAATAAATCACCTGCCTTAAGTTGAAGAGGTGCAGTGAAGTTAAACTTGAGTTCAGGCAGCCCAGAGAGCTCCACTTCCTTCCCTCCTGCTCATCCCAGCCCCTGGCACAGCTCCCTGTCAGCTGGGCTGGGTTTACTCCTGGTGTAACTCTGAGGAAGTGCTGCTACATTGCAGCTCCCTTGTTCTGGGTGCCCCAAGCCTCACATAACTCACAGCATTTATGGCACTGTGTAAATTCATGCAGGAGATGAGTGAGCTGGGAGAAGGAAAGTTAATTAATGCACTAAGGAGAATAGCAGGAGCTGCATCCCAGGGCTCAGGGAATAGGAAATACATCCCAGTCACCCAGCACTTCTGTTCATTTGTTCTTTAATGATGCCATAACTCATCTGGAAACGTGCCTGAGCGTGTTGGGTTGTGTTTGCCCTTTGGAATGGGCTGTGGCTGTGGAAAATGGGCTGTGGAAATCCCACTCCTGTGTTTGTGTGTGCTGTGTGTGCAGGATATCCATAACCAGAGTGACAGCTGACATCTCCCTGGCCAAGAGGTCTGTGCTCAACAACCCCAGCAAGAGGGCCATCATTGAGCGCTCCAACACCAGGTCCAGCCTAGGTAAGGCCCTGGCACAGCTGCAATCAGGCTGTGCTTACACACAGGGGGGCAGGACACGAGTCCAGCCTTCCAGTCTGAGCTGGAAGGACCCACAGGATCGTGGATCCAGCTCCTGGCCCTGCACAGACACCCCAAAATCCCACCCTGAGCATCCCTGGAGCGCTGTCCAAACCCTCCTGGAGCTCTGGGGCCATGCCATTCCCTGGGGAGCCTGGGCAGTGCCAGCACCCTCTGGGGGAGAGCCTTTCCCTGATCTCCAATGTACAGTAAAATGCTGTAGACCCATTTAAATCTGCACCCTGACCCTGCAGTGGTGCAGATTTAAATGTGTCTACAGCATTTTACTGCATAATCCTGAGCTGGCCTCTCAGCTCCTCCTCCTTCCCAGCCCTGTGCTTTTAATTCCACATCACAAGGAGCCAAAGAGCTTGCACTTGTCCAGCCAAGGAAATGTCATTCCTGACCCTGGGACCAGTTTTGTGATTAATTTTGAGCAGTTACAGCTGAATTTTGCTGTCTGGCTGTGAGACTTTGGGTCCTGCCCTCTGCTCAGTGTCAGGACTGCTGGGGAACGGTGACCTGAGCAATTTTTATGTGGACTCCATGATCTTGGATTTCCAACCTTGATAGTTCTGTGATTGTGTGATTCTTTCTTGCACAAGGGTGGAAATTAATGTGTATCACATGCATTCCAACATGCTGCTCTCTGGGACACCTTCCCAGGATGTAAGAGGAGTTGGATTTGGTAAAAAAACAAAAACAAATTCCAAATCTCTGCCATCCTGAGTGACTGCTTGCACTAGAGGTACAGGTAACAGGTTATTTTATGGCAATGCTATCAATTCACATGTGGAGTCTGTGACAGTAAGTGGGTGAGGACATTTTTATCACAGAGGTTTCAACTGCTTTGTTTTCCTTTGCAGCTGAAGTGCAGAGTGAGATTGAAAGAATCTTTGAGCTGGCCAGGTCCTTACAGCTGGTTGTCCTGGATGCAGACACTATAAATCACCCTGCACAGCTTATCAAGACATCTCTAGCACCAATTATTGTCCATGTGAAGGTGTCCTCTCCAAAGGTAATTCCTCACCTTGAGATCCAGGAGGGAGCTGGAGGGCAGGGTGGGAATGGCCAGTGTGGAATCTGCACCTGAAAAGGAGAAAAAGTGACATAATGTACTGCTGGTGTGCTACAGTCCATCCAGCAATCCAGATAATTCTGTATAAATACAATTTTCATGCTTCTCTGTTGTCACAAATAACTTAGGACTTAAAGGAGGATAAAGCAGAAATGCGTTTGAAATTTTTCAAGGGCTCAAACATGATCCAGAGGGAAATGTTCCCAGTTCTCAGAAGGGTTATCAGAAAGGTTTGGGATATTCAAGGGCAATATTTTATGGAGAGCTTCTGCCCTTGGTAATCCCTCAGGGGGATGTCAGGCTGGGCTTTAGGGAGATGAATGATCCTTAAACTCACCTTTTGCTCTTTCCTCCTGGCAGGTCCTGCAGCGACTGATCAAGTCCAGAGGGAAGTCACAAAGCAAACACTTGAATGTCCAGTTGGTGGCAGCTGACAAACTTGCACAATGCCCACCAGTAAGTACAGAGGAGAGGCTGAAGAACTCCTGCTTTGTGGAATTCTGATGATTCCTGCTCTGCTGATCCCTGTGCAGAGCTGGGTCCATCCATTATCAATCCCTGGTGGTGCTCACACGGCCCTGCACTCGTGAGACACAAAGTGCTGCAGACTTTCATCCTGGTTATCTCCTGCCCAGGGTTTGTTTTGCTCTTTGGCAGGGTGACAGGGCAGGAATGACGTGGAGGGGACAACAAATCTGTTCATTAGCAAATTACATCATCTGTGGAGCTGCAGCTCCCAGAGGGACAAAGTCTGGTTTGGAGAGGCCTGCCCTCACTGCACAGGGAGTGTGTGGAAAGGGAAAGGGAAAGGGGAGTGTGCAGGCATGTGAGCCCTGCTCCTGATCCTGCAGGCCATCCAGTCACCTCACCAGAGCACAGCCACGGCTCTCCCAGCTCCTGATCAAAGATCTGCCCCTCTCCCGGAGTCCAGAATTCCTGCTGATGGAGCAGAGGCCTGCAGGGCTCATGGGGGAGGCTCTGCAGGGGTTTGGACAGGGCAGCTCAAACTTGCTTTTAGTTTTGAAAGCCACGCCTGGTTTCTGGGACAGAGGCAGTGGAAATGGACTTGGATGTGGCTTTGTGTGGGATCTCTGTGGGATATTGGGATGGGAGTGCAGAGTGCAGAGGTACCAGGGCAGTGACAGCCTCTCTGGGCAGCCTGTTGTTCTGCAGAGCTCAGCTGTGTTACATTTCCCACGTGGAGTCTTTTGCTGAGTTGTGATCTCTTAAAATGCTGCTGGGTTATTCCTGTGAGCCATCCAGGTGCCACTAACCCAACCAGAACTGTAACTGTCCTGGTAAAACACATCCCTTCCCAACTCCTGATCCCTGTAAAGCACATCCCTTCCCAACTCCTGATCCCTGTAAAACACATCCCTTCCCAACTCCTGGTCCCTGTAAGACACATCCCTTCCTAATTCCTGATCCCTGTAAAGCACATCCCTTCCCAACTCCTGATCCCTGTAAAACACATCCTTTCCCAACTCCTGATCCCTGTAAAACACATCCCTTCCCAACTCCTGATCCCTGTAAAACACATCCCTTCCCAACTCCTGATCCCTGTAAAACACATCCCTTCCCAACTCCTGATCCCTGTAAAACACATCCCTTCCCAACTCCTGATCCCTGTAAAACACATCCCTTCCCAACTCCTGGTCCCTGTAAGACACATCCCTTCCCAACTCCTGATCCCTGTAAAGCACATCCCTTCCCAACTCCTGATCCCTGTAAAACACATCCCTTCCTAATTCCTGATCCCTGTAAAACACATCCCTTCCTAATTCCTGATCCCTCTAAAACACATCCCTTCCCAACTCCTGATCCCTCTAAAACACATCCCTTCCCAACTCCTGATCCCTGTAAAACACATCCCTTCCCAACTCCTGATCCCTGTAAAGCACATCCCTTCCCAACTCCTGATCCCTGTAAAACACATCCCTTCCTAATTCCTGATCCCTGTAAAACACATCCCTTCCTAATTCCTGATCCCTGTAAAACACATCCCTTCCCAACTCCTGATCCCTGTAAAACACATCCCTTCCCAACTCCTGATCCCTGTAAAACACATCCCTTCCCAACTCCTGGTCCCTGTAAGACACATCCCTTCCCAACTCCTGATCCCTGTAAGACACATCCTTTCCCAACTCCTGATCCCTGTAAGACACATCCCTTCCCAGCTGCTGTTGGTGTGAGCTGAGGAGTGGAGTGCAGCTGCCCTGTTTGTGGTGTTTGCCCTGAGCTCACACACAGAGCAGCGCTGTGCACTCTGTGCTGTGTCAAAGGTGTTTCCTCTGGCACCCACACACACAGCCCTGGGGGTTCCACAGCCTTTTTTTGCCCTTTATGCAGTGGTTTCCTCTTACTCAGCTTCACTTCGCTCGCATCAGCTGAAATGAGAGAAGTCACCAGAGGAGCTGAGGCTGCCCCATCCTCTGGAAGTGCCCCAGGCCAGGCTGGAAAGGGTTTGAAGCACCCTGGGATAGTGGAAGGTATCCCTGCCCGTGGCAGGGGGTGGATGAGATGTTTTTTAAGTCCCTTCCAACTCATGGGATTCCCAGATTTCATGAAATAATCTATGTGGGGTGCATTGTGGCACTGGGATTGTCCATCCCCAGATTTACTGAACTGTTCCTCAACACTCGGGCCAGAAATTGAATTCCAGTGCTGAAGGCAACCAGGTGAGGCCTCACCTGGATCAGAAAAGCCTCTCCAAATGTCAGAGGCCCAGGTTTCAGCCTTGAACCCAGCCCTGCCCAGGAGCTGCTCACAGACCAGCTCAGCACTTTGCACTGGTGATGGGGAGGCAGTGAGTGCTGACTTTGAGCTCTCCCAGCGAGCTGACAGTCTGGCTTGGCTTGAAATTAAAGTTGGCCCACGGTTTAATTCAGTAAAAGTTCACTGCTAAGAGCAAAGGCACTGCTCCCTCTCTACTGCTCATCCCTTTTGCAGCTCAGATTCCTGCAAGAGGAGAATTTGGAGCGTTGGTTTAAAGGGAAGGTCCTTGCACAGGATGCAGTCCTCACTCTGAGAGCCAGCCATAAGGAATGAGCTGGTGCTGCATGTCTAGACATTGTAAAAATAGCTGTAAAAATAGCTGGGCATATTTGAGCTCAGGAACTGCTTTCATTATTAATTCCTTGCTAATCTGCCCCTGATGCTGCTCCAGCCAGCGTTGGGCACTGCAGGGCTCCAGGAATATTGCAGGACACAGGAACATTGCAGGGCACAGGAATACTGCAGGACACAGGAATATTGCAGGGCTCCAGGAACACTGCAGGACTCCAGGAACATTGCAGGACTCCAGGAACATTGCAGGACTCCAGGAACATTGCAGGACTCCAGGAACATTGCAGTGTTTAATTTCAGTCTTCTCCAAAGCAAAATATACATAAGCAAACCACATTTTTTAAAATTTCTAATTTAACTGTGTTTTAATTGATAACTTCTTCCACAAGGGAGTGATAGACTGAGATGTGTGGTGCATCAACATGTGGGTGAATAGCAAAAGAGTAAAAGCAGTAAATAAAGAGAAGAGCAAAAGAAGAGCAAGAAACACTGAACTGGACCAAGGGATGCAGTGTTAGGAATGTTCTGATTAGAAGGAAACTCCTCCTTGCTGGCTGAGGAGGAAATTTTTCTCTGCCATGCTGGGAAGAGAGAATAAATGAAAAAAAAAAAAAAAGAAGAAAAACTGCTTTATTATTTTAAATCTTATTCTGAGAGCTGTAAAAACAAGTGGAAGAGAGCTGCCTGTGGTTGATGCTGGTTGCCCTTTACACCCACAGCACCTGCACTTATTTTCCATTTCCTGAGCTGTTCTCACAGTATTTTGCAAAGTTAAGATTAGAGATGAGATAGGAAGTTGAACTGCTGAAAATAGGGTTGTGTTTCTCTCGAGGGGCTCTGCTGGTTCTGGCAGGTTGGAGGACAGGCAGGGATGGAGGTGGTTTCAGCCAGCACATGGAGGAGGTGTCTGGAGAATTCCCTGAGGCAGGAATGCTGCTGCTGTCAGGACTGCTGCTGCCTTCTCTGCTGTGGGAATGGTTTTAGGGGCATCAGCACTGGAAATAAATAAATAAATTGAAGAGTTTTGTGCCCAGAAACAAAACAGGGCTCATGCAACACTCAGGGGCAGTGTCCAGTGACTCCTGAAGGCTCTTGGTCACCTCCTGGACACTCTTGTACCATTTTCTTTTCTAGACACAGAGCCATGGAATGGTTTTGGGTGGAAGGGACCTCAGACCTCATCCCGTGCCACTCCTTGCCATGGGCAGGGACACTTTGCACTGTGCCAGGCTGCTCCAAGCCCTGTCTAACCTGGCCTTGGGCACTGCCCGGGATCCAGGGGCAGCCCCAGCTGCTCTGGGAGCTCCATTCCAGAGGCAGGAATTCCTCCCGTGTCCCATCTCTCCGTGCTGTGTTGCGGTGTGCATCCATGCCCCCTGTCCCTCTCCCGCCCCGATTCCCGCTGAACATCTCCGAGGCTCGGTGCGGGCGTTTGCCTCCGCGGTGTCCCCGGCCGTGACTGCGCTGTGTCCCTGTGCCCAGGACATGTTTGACGTGATCCTGGACGAGAACCAGCTGGAGGACGCCTGCGAGCACCTGGCCGAGTACCTGGAGGCCTACTGGAGAGCCACGCACGCGTCCGGCGCGGCGCCCGTCACCCCGCTGCTGGGCAGGAGCCTGGCCCCCGCCGCCCTGGCCCCGTACCCCGCTGCCATCTCCGGCCTGCAGGTAGGAACGGGCCCCCGGGCTGCCAGCCCTGCCGCCCACCGGGGTGCAGCCAGGGAGGAGGCAGCTCCTCAGCCCAGGGCTGGGCGCTGGGAATGCTCTGCCTTTAGTGGGAAGTGTGATAACTGTGCGTTTCCTAGCCAGGAGGCAGCTCTGTTATGATGCCTTTATTCTGCCTTCGTAACTTTACCAAACCTTGTGGGTCAAAAATCTTGTTCTTTGAGTGTGAATAAAAGATAATTTATTTTTTTTTTTTTTTTACCCGTTGAAAAAAATTGTGACCCTTTTTTTCCACAGGGATAGCTCAGACTCGGCTGAACTTTGACACTTCAATCGTGGCATGTAAATAGTCCTTAATGAGAAGTACGTGCTTTATTAAGTTTGAAACCAGAAAATGTTTGGGGCTAATAACTGGGAATGCTTGAGGGGCTCAGGATTGCAGGGAGCTTTAAATCCTGCAAGTTTCAGTGTGTGTGGGACTCTAGGAGTGTCACTTGCTAATGTACGTCAGAAATAGAACTGAACAAATGACATTTAATGAATAATTCACCTGACAAATGTAACAAATGTCTGCTCTGCTTGTGGAGTGTCTGGAAGCAGGTAACAGCTTTGGAGGAAATGACTGTTGTTTGGTGTTTTCAGTTAACATCCAGCTGGCTTTGCTGTGAAGGTGCTTAATTCCTGCACTCACCTTTCTAAAGCCCTGCTTGGTTTTATTGGGACCAGCAAGTCACTGTCTCCTGAGTGGCTGAATGCACAAGCACTGTTCTGTTACTGATAATAACATGCACATGTAAACTGTTGTTTCCATTTTCCACTTGCCTTAAAATTTCAGTTTTCCATCCCTTCATGCCAATAAAATACCATCTGCAGAACTTTCACCTCTTCAGTTTCATTTTGAGAACTGGGTGTATCCACAGAATTTTTTTCAGGCATTTATTTCTCTCTGATCAATGGACACCAGCAATAACTGTGAAATGTTGCTCCATTTACTTAGGGAAAACTCACACTGAAGATGAAAATCACCCCTGTGCAGTGGGCTGGCTGAAGGTATGCATCACTTAATCCCCACTTCACCCGAATTCCAAAGGGTTTCGGTGGGATCAATGGTGCTGGTGCTCTGCAGAGGGGTAAATTTCTCCCATGGAGTGATCCATGCCCAACAGAGCTGCAGGTTTTCCGTGCCACCAGGGTTCAGGCCCTGCTGTTTTCCATGGGTATCTCACAGTAAGGACTTCCACCATCCCTGATGCCCACGAGGAGGTTTTATGCTCATTCAAACCTTTGAAGGATTTGCATCAGCTTTCACTGTGATCACGTGTGTGGTAATTAAAAGCCACTCAGGCTAATTAAACTAGCAAAGGTGCTTGTGGTGCAGGAAGATTTGATATTCTTCTGCCCTTGATACCTCGGGGACTGAAAAGCAAAAGCCCAAAGGCTACATTGCAGTGAGCCTGATAGAGGTGTGCTGGGACAGGCTGTCCCTGCTTCACCAAATCCAGATTTGGGAGACTCCCATTTCTACCTGGCTGTGGGCTGGACTTTGGTTTACTGAGAACTGAAAGTTCTGCCTGAGCTCCTGACTCATGGAGGTCATGAGGGTCACGTTCTGTGGCACAGATCCAGAGCAGTCAGAGAGGGCACAGGTGGCAGTGCTGGCTCTGCCACACCTGATCCTTGGGAACGGCCTTCCTTAAAGGAAGAGCTCGAGGCTGAGCTCAGGGGGAAGAGTAAATCTGATCTTTGCTTAGAAAAATACTTACTGCTCTGAGAAGCTGTGGCCGCCCCTGGATCTCTGGAAGTGTCCCAGGCCAGGCTGGACAGGGCTTGGAGCAGAAGGTTGTCCCTGCCCATGGCAAGGGAAGGAATTAGGTGATCCTCAATTTCCCATCCAACCCAAACCATCCTGGGATTGTCTAACTCCTTGGCACCAGTCGTTTGCCTCTGTGACTGGTTAGCTCTAAACACATCTAGTCTAATTTCAGTGCATGGATTCAAATCCTGTAGCTCAGGTTTTGGGAGATGTGTTCCTTAGGCTCCAGGGCACTGGGGTTTCAGGTCCATTCCTGCAGTCATCCCAATCACACAGCAGGATCAAAAGTTACCTGGGCCATCAGATCCATGTGTACCCAGCCCAGGCATGTCCCGTGCTGACACCCTGGGAGCCCAGCAGCAGCCCTGGGATGAGCACACAGCCAGAGAAGCAGGAGGGTTCCAGGAAAGCAGCAGGATGCAGCCCCAGAGGTGAATTCCCACAGGGGAGGCAGAGGGGTGAGCACAGAGTTAAAGCTGCAGTTGATGAGGGGGTTATACATCCAAACTGCATTTGTGTCAGATAAACACAAGGATAATTCATCATGGAATCAAGGAACCACAGAATGGTTTGGGTTGGATGGGATCTTAAAGCCCATCCATGGGCAGGGACACCTCCCACTGTCCCAGGCTGCTCCAAGCCCCATCCAGCCTGGCCTTGGGCACTGCCAGGGATCCAGGGACAGCCCCAGCTGCTCTGGGCACCCTGTGCCAGGGCCTGCCCACCCTCCCAGCCAGGAATTCCCAATCTCCCATCCATCCATCCCTGCCCTCTGGCAGTGGGAGCCATTCCCTGGGTCCTGTCCCTCCATCCTTGTCCCCAGTCCCTCTCCAGCTCTCCTGGAGCTCCTTCAGGCCCTGCCAGGGGCTCTGAGCTCTCCCTGGAGCCTTCCCTTCTCCAGGTGAACACCGCCATCTCTCCCAGCCTGCCTTTAATTTCTGAAGCCCTTTTCCATAATCCCCACTAACTCCTGGTGCTCTGAGGAGAACGGGGATCCCCTGCAGGAGTTCTCCCCAGTACCTGGGGCTGAGGTTGCACAGGGGCCCCTCGCTCAGGGCCCCTCTCCAGGAGTCTCCCTGGCAGCACCAACCCCGAGCTGTAAGCACACACCCCCTGCTCCATCCCTGCCCCAGGCACAGCAGCCTTGGACATCAATTATTCAGGAAAACAGTCACCAGGCAGAGGCTGTAGCAGCAGGAGGAAGGTTTTACATCCCAGAGAGCAGGGGCTGGAGTTTCAGCACAGAGTTTGTCCTGAGAGATGGGTGCTGATGCTCCTGAGAGGTTTAATGTGTGGTGAAAGCAAACAAAACACTTGTTTTAAGCTATTTCTTCACCGTGCCGTTAGCCGGCAAAAAAAAACGAACTAATTTTGTTCATGTGACAAATGATGGGCATTGTCATTATGGGAACGTGAGGAGAGCAAAGGCTTCTAATTAATAAATTATCTTAGGAAGGGATTTTCTGTCAACAAATTTAAATACTGTGCTTCAGTTGAAAGAATTTATTATCCAGTGATTTTAGCCTGCCCTTGGCTGCCTGCTGAGCAGCCCATCATTGGTTTGGTCATAGGAAGGGTTTTAAATGAGGCCCAGAGCTGCACCTTTAAAAACAACCCAAGCAAACATCTTCAGATGTTTTCCAAAACCACAGAAACGGACACTTAGACATTCCCTAAGCAGAGTAGCAGCGTGAATGTTCTGTTCCTGATCAGAGAAAAGTGATAAATGCTGACTACATCAGCTCACTTTTCATGCTCGGTGTAATACTCAGCAGGGCGAGCTTCCCGCTCCAGGAACCGGAGCTGGCCCGCTCCCGGCCCTGCAGCAGCCGTGGAAAAATGAGAGCCAGGAGCTGCTGGAAGGGCTGGGCTGGGCTGGGCAGAGCTGAGCTGGGGCAGCCCTGGGGTGGGCACTAACTCTGCCTTCTTTGGCCCCCGCAGAGCCAGCGCGGGAGGCACGGCGGCCACTCCGCGGAGAACTCTCCCCTCGAGCGGCGCAGCCTCATGACCTCCGACGAGAACTACCACAACGAGAGGGCTCGCAAGAGCAGGAACCGCCTGTCTTCCAGTTCCCAGCACAGCCGAGAGCACTATCCCCTCGTGGAGGAGGAATTCCCTGACCCCTACCAGGACTCGTACAAACCCCACCGCACCCGCGGCTCCCCCGGCGGGTACAGCCACGACTCACGGCACCGGCTCTGAGCCCTGGGGAGTCACAGCATCCGGCCCGTGGTACCTTGCCATGACGTAGCTAGGAGTAACAATTAGATCATGTTAATTTGGCAGGTGTGACGGTGACACCGCGGTTGCACTCTGCTGTCATTGATGTTTAATTAGGGGGCAGCAAAACCCAGCCCGGCCCTTCCGTTTCTGCCCGATCATAGAGGTTGTTTTTGGGATTCTTTTTGGGTTTAATACAGCGTTTGCATTTATAGCCATATTTTTTTCTTGTCCTTAGGTATTAGACACATCCGTTTGTAATTTTGGGTACTTATCGAGGCACTTATAAAATAATTTCCTGTGCTGGAAATTCCAAATGACCAGTTCCAGTTGGAACCAATTTATAAACCAATTCCTGTTGGAATTTGGGTGAATTGACTGGAAAGTCGACGTGAGCATGTTGGGAAAAAACAAACACGAAGAAAAATCTGAAAATTACAAACCACTGCAAGTCAGAAAGTCAGCTCCAGTATTTGTTTGCTGGGAGCTCAATTTCCATTTCAGGTTAGAGTAAAAGGATTTATTCTAACGATTTCTTTCCAGAATGGCTTTTTCAGACAAACCAAATGTAAACTCTCGAGAGTGCCAAATATCCCAAATTATTGCAGCAGTTACAAAACACTTTCCAGTTCCAAATTATTTTTAGACCTGGCATGAATGTTGCAGCCAAATGATTCTTGAGTTCAGCCAGTCCTGACAGTTTTGTTGGGACCAGCAGGGAGGAGCTGCGACAGGAGACGGGAAGTAGGGACAGGAAAAGGAACAAACTCCATCGTTTGTGTGCTTGGGGGTTGGGAATAGTCTTTATTTTTTCCCACTCTTTTACCTGAATACAGCTAGAAGTCCCAAAATGGAACAGGAGTATAGAGACATCAGATTTTTCTCCCATTTTTATCCTGCTTTTTAAATGGAAAACAATCCCTTCCTCTGACCCCGTGTGTAAAGTCTCCCCACATCTCAGTACCCCGAGTAGCTGCCCACATGTTCCATCCTCCCAAATCCACCTCTGAATGTCTGACATTCCAGCAGCGCACAAGAACTCTGCAGAAGATCCATTCCAGCCATGGAATCCAAGGGGAGGGAGTGGGCTTAACCAGTCACCAGTGACAGACATTTCAAACAACATCTCGGTCAGAATTGCAATAAAAAGGGAACACCAGACAAAAATCTGCTCCCAGGGAAGTCGTGGAGCTGATTCCAAGCTTTGGATTCCAAGAGCTATGATAAATCCTTGGAGATATTGCTGCCTTACTTCCTACCAATCATTTCTTTCACCTGCTGAGTCTTGAGTTCCTTCCGAGAGCTGAATTCCTGTGGCTGCACCTTGTGTTTTACACCATCAGTGAAGCCTTAGATCCCATGGGATTGAAAATTGACCCCCATTGCCCATTTTGTACGACCACTGACATCTGCCAGCAGAGCCTCCCGAAATTCCCACCGCACACATTCCCTGGAATTCACACAGTTTTGCTGAACATGCATTTGTTTATGCAGGTTCATGTCACAGCTATTTTTTTCTTCCCAAAATAAGGATCATTAGCTTTTTTATTTGCTTGTTTTCCTCCCAAAGCCTGCTGAACCCAGGCTTTGAAAGCATGTAGCACTACAGGAATTTCTGGAATATTCTGGTTTCTTCTGCATCCTGGACCAGCTGGCAAAGCCCACTGGTATTTCCAGCATCCTGGAGTCTCATTATCCTCTTGAAGTTACTGGGAAAAGCAATCCATGTCCTTTGTGGGACACCCAAACCCACACCCATCCCCAGCAGCATTAAAAGGTGGCAGACACCTGATTAATTAATCATTTATTTTAATGACTCCACTGCCTAACAGGCAGCTGCAGCACCGCTGGGCGATCCCAGTGGAGCAGTTACCAAGGGAAACGTGGAAATCTCTGCATCCACTGGAGTCCCAGAGTTCTGGATGGATCTGCCAGAGCTGATCCTGCCTGCTCTGTGGCAGGAGCTGGCACTGGCAGCTCCTGCAGGATTGTGTGCTGCAGCACAGGGGAGCATCCTCCAGGAAGTTCTCCAGCCCTTTTTCCTTGTCCAGCACACAGAAAGGACAAAGGAGGCCTTGGGCAACCCCTTCTTCTCTGAGCTTTCCTCCTTCCTGATTGCAGGGGAGCTGTAGAGCCCTGGGCAGCAGCTGCTTCTCTTTATTCTGCACTAGATTAGGGATCAGCTCGTTAACTGCTTGAGGAGATTTGCATATTTGCATATTTGACAGAGATTTCCTAGAGCCTTTTGGAGCCTTGTTTTCAGTCTTCCATGTCACCCCAGGCCAGGGAAGGATCCCCAGCCACCACACTCTGCACAATCCATCACCTGAACATCTTAAGTGCCAAAACAACTTGGGTTTGACAAAAACAACCTTGGGAGGGAAGCCAGGGATGTCCTGAGGTCCTTTATTCTGTGTGGTTAAGCTGCCTCGACTCCTGGGTGTCCTGAGTTTCTCCCAGAGCCCATTCCATTGTGATCAAAGGAGCCAGGGGCCCTACAGGTCTCCCTCCTTGCTGGGGTGTTGAATTCTGTGAAAAGAGATATTCTTGAAGTACAAATACACCAGCCAGGCTGGGAGACTCTTCATTTACTGCAGAGCCTGTGGACAGGGTTTGTTTGAAGAAGGGATTTCTGTTCAGGACACAGTAAGGAGTGAAAGCTGTGCTGGGGGTCAGGATTGGTAATTCCTGGTGGGATTCCAGCCCTGCTGAGCAGCTCTCTGGTGGTTTAGTTGAAATTAAGGAGTGCATGTGTTCCTGCCTGAAGCAATCCAGCCTCATTGTCTAGTCCTCACATCATTTCTTCTTGTTAAAATAATACTGAAGACCAGAGCTCTGTTCTCAGCTCTGGCAGGGACAGAGGGTTTAGAAATGTTTATAAAACTGGGATTTTTTTTTTTTAAGTTGTGTTGTTACCCAAGTTTCTCATTCAGATACTTTGGGATTAACAAGGATTTAGCCAATCAAGGTGATAACAACAATCTCTGAAGAGAAAATTCAGCACATATTTATGTTTGGGAATCAATTATTTTAATTGTTAACCTTTGCATTACAAATACTTTCTCCCTGGAGTTGTATTTAACATGTACAGATTCTTTTCCTGATGCCAAACATTTCTCCCATGGGATGTGCAAGTCACAGCTGCTGATGTTTGTAACTTCACTTTGATGCCAAATCTTCTGAATTCAGTTTGGTCTCAACACCACAGAATTCCCTGGAGCATCCAGACTCTCCTGTCTTTACTGACTACACCATTCCAAAACAATATTATTCCTGTTGTTCACAGCACACTGATTTGGGTAAGTCAGGGGTTCTGACACTCCTTTTTTCTTTAATAATCCATTAAATGTGTCCTCTGCTGTATTTTCTTTCACAGGTTCAGTACTTCTGAAACTTGTCCTTGATCCCACATTCCTGATTTTTTTTTTTTTTAAGGCAAAATAATTGGAGACTACACATGACAAAATCAGAAGCATATTTTATAAAATGCCATTTATACAAACCTGGGTTTGCTCCTAGAAATGTGCATTTTAAAATCAGGTTCTGTTACCCCTGTTGGTGCCAGTCCAGGTTGGGATCCATGGGATTCTGCTGCCATGTATTTTGCTGGAGTTGCCTCTCATTCCCTCAAATATTAGTCCTACAAAGGCTGCAGGGTCCTGTAATGCAGCCAGGCTTAACTCTGGGGAAATGGACTTTAAATGATCCTAAAAGAGAGTGTGGTGTTGTTTTAAGAGGCATTTGAATAACCTTGGTGAGGTTGTTACCAAGCCCAGCTTATTTTATATAGAAAAATAAAGGCTTATCTTTAAAAAAAAAGGGAAATTTTAATAAGCTTGTAAGGAATTAACTCAGAGAAAGAGGTGACAATGCCATTTAGGAGTGAAAGTGCAGATTTCTTTCAGTGTGTGTGGAATCCACTCAAGAAGTCAGGAGAAATATTGTGATTAGAATTTGGGGAGGAGGTGGAATCATTTCTGATGCTAACGAGTGTCACTCCTTTATTCCTTTGGAACCAGCAGCCTTGGCTTGGTCTCAGGATGGTTTATGGACCTGCCTCGGGAATTTGGGAAACCAAATTCCTTGGCAGTGACACCAACTCCTGTCTGGTCCAAGAGCAAGGTCTGCCCAGCAATGGCACCTCCTGATCCTCCCCTGCCTTACCGATATTGCCTGAAAACCAAGCTGAATTAGCTGGGACATCCCCGTGTTGAATCTGCTCTGCAGCAGAGGATCCACAGAGCTCAGAGTTCTCTCTTCTGCCAGCGGTGTGAAAACAGAGCAAGGGAAAAGAAGCACATTTGTAATAGCACAAATTTACAGTAATTCCACTCCTGCATCTGGCACCGTGGGTTTGGAACCAAGGGGGAGATTTCTGATCCAGCATCAGTGGATTTATTGCATTTTTGATCTGTTTACTCGCTGCCTGATACTTCAGCAGTTGATTTTGGCATTTTGCACATGGGATTGATTTTTCAATAACTTCTATCCCTTCCATGTGAATTAATTAATGACAACAAAAAGAACCTTTTCAACTCGCAAAGCCCACTGCATTCATTTCTGCTGATTTCCTCCTGGAAGCTGAAATCACATGAATAACTTTAATTTTGGCCAATGTGTAGATCTGGGATGTGACTGGTGAAGCCCAAGGTCGGGAATGAAACACTCCCAGGAAGTGTTTGTGGGGATGCACAGCTTGGAGAGGGGAGGGAAGAGTCACAGCACCCCAAATTCCCAAGAATTCCCTGCAAACCTGAAGGGAGGTGAGGTTAAGGAACTGTGTGTGGGCCCAGGTGAGTTTGGGATTGGGACACACCTGACTGATTCCCTCCTGGGCCAGACAGGGAGAGTCAGGCCAGCAAAATGCAGATTGTGTGCAAGCAGAGCGGGGAGAACGTCGGGATCTGCCATTCCAACTGCACACTCCAGACCTTGGGCTTCTCACATCCTGGAAAATCTCTGTTTCTCAGCCAAACTGGTTCCCAGGGAGAGCCTGGCAGCGCTGCCTCGCTGGGAGCCAGTTCAGAGCCACACTGGTGAAGACATTACTGCCTTTACCGGGACAGAGCCACCCCAAATTTGTGTTTTCTGCTGATTTTCCCTTTGTTTTGCCCTCTAGACCCCGTGTGTGTAGCACCTGACCAGGCATGTGGGTACCATATACTATGCAATGTGTACAGTGGTGCATGCTCTGCTCTCCCTCTGCTTTTAGTGGCTTTCAAAGAAAACTACAAAAATTGGAAAAAATTTTAAAAAAAAAGGAAAAAAAAAAAAAAAGTGGTGTTATTTTTGTGACCAGGATCATGCAGACTGCATGCCCATAGTATCCTCATTTCTATGGATTCGTTTTCTGGAATTTAGATGTACAAAGATGAACTGCATTACAATAACTTTTCTACAATAAATGAACAAAACTATCAAGCGTTTAAAAGTCTGTCCAGTCTCTTTGTGTCCTGCACTAAGATTGGGAAAATGCTCGGGAGAAACCCGGAGTCCTGTGGCATTTTTGCTGTTTGCCAATAGTTTTTGGCAGCAGCCTCACGTGTTGCGTTTTTAGGAAAATTTAATGAGGTTCTGAAGACGGAGATGCATCTGCTCTGCGAAATAAATGATGTTTATTTTTGTAATGAGCTTAAATAGTTGCGACCCAGAAGTACAAAAATACAGATAATTCCTGCTGATCCAGCAGGGAATGAGGTACTGGCAGCCAACTGCTCCTTTGAAGGATTCTCAGGAATGTTCAGGGGTTTGGAGCTGGTCCTTGGTGGGATCTCCTGGATTGTTCCTAGGCAGGAACAAGGGGCAGAATGATGGGAGAGATGAAAGACTGGATAAATAAAAGATAATTAATAGTTCATCACCAATGGTGACGGCTGGAAAAGACCTCCAAGGCCATCGAGTCCAACTGTGACTGATCCCCGCCTGAGTGCCACCTCCAGCCGTTTGTGGTATCTTGGAAAACCAAAAGCATTGGAAGATGCTGCCTCTGGCAGAGAGTTCCAGTCTCCTCTTCCCAAAAAGGAGCAACAGGAACCAGAACCTCCCGGAGATGCTGTGAGCACCCAAACCTTGCCTTGGAGGGACGGGAGCACGTTGGCCAGGTGAGCTGCTCGAGCATTTGCACCCCTCAGGCAGATCTAAAGCTCTTAAAATTCTGTTCAATGGGGTTGTCTTGGCTGTGGCTTCAAAACCAGATCTCAGCACGTGAGCTTTCACCTGAGCTGTTGATGAGAAGCAGGAGGGTCTTCAAATAAATATAACTGAGCAAAAAAAATGCTTTTTGTGTGTTATCGTATCATCCTAGGGGTTGAAATTTCTTAAACTGCTTAAGTTGTCTGTGTCGACATGGGGCAGTGCTGGGAATGGCTGGACTCAGATATCTGGGAGGCCTTTTCCAACCTCAGCCATCCCATATTCTCTCCGTTTGGGTTTTTTCCTGCACAGAAGCATTCCCATGGTGAAATCCTTCTGTCGGCATTCGAAGCACTTCCCCAGCACGCACTCCCTGACCCTGTCTGTGCTACAGCTGGAACAAACCGTACGCGACCCGAAAAACCCTCCCAGACTTCCAGGAGGGAATTGCAGCACAAGACCCAAAAAACCCCTCCCAGATTTCCAGGAGGGAATTGCGAGGCTGTACCAGCCCTGCCCACTGGAATGCTTTCCTAGAAAGCTTCCAGCAGCACTGGGGAGCTCAGCTTAGCCCATAAAAAACAGCAGTACGATCCAGGTTCAAGCAGGCTGCGCTAGGACAAAACCCAAACAAACGACACGGGGGGGAATCCTCGGAGTTTTAATTTAAATAATAAGAATAAACTGGTTAATTGAACTTTGGTAGCTCTCCCACAGCTGTGCAGCCACCGAACCCTGCCCCGAGCCCAGGAGAGCTGAGAACAGAGAAGAACCCCGAATGCTTCTGAAATTCCAAGCTGAGGACCGGCAGAAAGGGGGATAATTGCCAGCTAATGAATAATTAACGCCATTGCAGGCTGGATGCTGAACTTGTGGAACGTTTTACACCGGAGGAGCTGACCCGCGGTGCCAGGACCCAGGGCTGTGGCACAGGGATGGACTGGCACAGTGGGCTGCCAGGATATTTCTCTTCTTAAGCTGTTCAGGGCCACGAATTCCCCTCCAGTGCAACAGGAAACGCACAAGTCTCTGGACACGGGAAATCGGAGATGACTCTGCCCTTGCTGCTTTGGTTCCGGACCAGCAGGGAAAATTAAACGCGAGAAGCTGCTGTGGGAATAAAAGCTGCTTGAAGAAAAGATACAAACCTCTGGAATAAGAGAGGAGATTTCATGTGCCATCCCTGGCAGTGTCCCAGGCCAGGCTGGGCATTGGGAGCAGCCTGGCGCAGTGGAAGGTGTCCCTGCCAGGGCAGGGGAAGGAGTCAGGTGCCAGCTGTTGGTTTTCTTAGTTTTTACAGAGATGGGGTAACTGAGAGGTCTTAAAAGATTTTATTCTATTATTAGTTTCCATGAATAGTGAGACACAAGAGATGTAAAACTTATTCATTACCCAAATCACAAATTATTAAGAGTCAGGGCCAGGACAAGTGAGAAGGCAAATACCCCATGTCTTGTCTCAGGCAGCAACGCAGCTGTGCACAGCCTAATTATTATTGTTTGGGATTTCCAATTCCCTGAGGATTTAAACTCAGTGCAGGGTTTGGACAGAGAAATTCCTCTCGGGGAAGAGAAGGCTCTTGGCAGATCTTAGAGCCCATTCCAGTGCCAAAAGGGCCCTTATGCAAACTCTTCCCCAGCTACTGGGGAGCAACTTCCCCCACGTTATTCCTGAGTTTCCCTCAGAGCACCAAGTTTTAGCAGGGCAAAGTGAACGTGGTTTCTTCATAAACTCTAGCCAGGCCGGGAGAGCTGGGAATGTTCCCCTGGAGAAGGGAAGGCTCCAGGCAGAGCTCAGAGCCCCTGGCAGGGCCTGAAGGGGCTCCAGGAGAGCTGCAGAGGGACTGGGGACAAGGCATGGAGGGACAGGACTGGGGACAAGGGCCGGAGGAACCGTTTAAACCTGAAGGGAGGGGGTGACTTCCATGCGGCACCGGGAGCAATCCCTCGCTGTGAGGGCGGCGAGCCACCGGCGCGGTTGCCGGGATCAGCCGTGAGGCGGGAGGTGCCCGTGGCAGGGGAGGGCCGGCACGGGCCCCGCGGAGGCACCGAGGGCCGCGGCCGTGAGGGAGCCGGGCGCGCTGAGGCGGTGCCGTGTAATGGCGGCCGCGGTGCCGCCCCCGGCCGCGGGCGCTGCTCCCCCGCCGCCGCCGCCGCCGCCGCCCCGCTGCCTCTCCCGAGCCTCGTCCCGAGCTCCGTCCCGACCCCGCGGCGATGTCCGAGCGGCAGCGGCCCCGGCGCGGCCCCAGCCGGCACTCGGGGCGCTGCGCCGGGCCCTGAGCGGCCGCGGCCCCGCAGAGCCGCGGCCGGCGAGGCCCGGAGCGCCCGGCCGAGGATGGGGATCCTCTTCACCAGGATATGGAGGCTCTTCAACCACCAGGGTGAGGCCCGGGGGGATCCGGGAGGGACCCGCACCCGCTCCGGGGCGGCCGCACGGGCTCCTGGAAGTCGTGGCTTTAACCATTTATTTTTTTTTTCCACCTTATTTCAATTACTGGAGTGCTCATTTCCTGACAGCCGCCTGTTAAATCATTAACGTGTGGCAGAGGAGCGCGGCCGTGGCGCGGCGGGTGGGTTCGCCTTGCTGTCGGCAGAGTGTGGGTTTAAGTGGCAATCCTCGATAAGTGGCCCGTTCACGGAGTAAATGTTATTTACAGCTGCAGCTGGGGCTGCCCCTGGATCCCTGAAGTGTCCCAGGCCGGGTTGGACATCGGGGCTTGGGGCAGCCTGGGACAGTGGAAGGTGTCCCTGCCATGGCAGGGGGTGGCTCTGGATAGTCCTTGGTTTCTCATTCCGGGATTCTGGGGTTTTTAACACCTGTCTCCTTACAGCAAGGTGTTCGTGAGAGTTGTAACTTTAACTACAAAACACCTCATGATGCTCTTTCCACGTTTCTGAAGTCCTTGGATTTTGATTTTGAGTGAGCCTCAGTACTCTCACACCTGCTGGTTGAATGTCCCAGTTACGTCCCCGTTAACGTGTAGTGCAAATACAGCAAAATATTTTTGTCTTGTAGCATCCAGCCCCACCTCAGACCTTCTGTTCCAACTGATTTCCTAACATCCACTATGCTGGCAGCATCCCACCTGAAACAAAAGTTCCTAGTTATGTGGGGTCAGGTAAGCAGACACTTTTACAATATTGTGCAGTTGTGCAAAGTTATTAAAGCTGGATTTTGTATTGGAGGGCGTAAAAGACAACTCTGCAAAACCACACAATATTGGTAAAATCAAACCTCATAAACCCCCACTTACCTGACCCCTGTCCCCTCCCTCTCCTGTGCGATAAATCAGTTTGCTGGCAGGGATTGATCTCAGTGTCTGAAGCTTGGGCATGTTTTTAATGCTTTTTGTTGCCCTTGAGGAACACGGGGAAGGAGGGGAGAAACCCCCTTCTCACCAGGCTTTTGCTTGACTGGTCCTGCTTGGTTGTGCAAGTGAAAGTTGTGTAATGGAGCTGAGAGCTGGCTGTGCTCTCCCAAACTGGGAATCACCCATTTGGATGTGCTTGACACCACCGGTTGTAGAGTTCCCAGTGACTTTTGTGATGCACAGGAGAGGAGGTGCTGAAGGGAAGCAAGAATTGATCGGGGCACTGAGCTCCAAAACGTCAGAGGTGGGTTGTGGAGCACCTGGTGGCTTGTCCAAGACTGGGTGAATGTGTCCTGTGAGATGTTGGAGGGCACATCTGTTGCCCAGGAGGAAAGGGGAGCACAGGGATCACACCTGGTTGGGTTTTACCCGTTCCTTGCAAAGACATCAAGAGACTGCCTGGGTGAAGGGAAGGTGGAGTTGAGAGCTGAAAAGCTGAAAGTGGAGTTGGGAGCTGTTGTGGCTGGGGGAATGCACTGTGATACAGGCTGCAAAACCCTGCAGGAGCTGGGGAGAGGATCCCAGCGTGGCACTGGCAGTCAGAGATGGAAAGCATCCTTCTGAGATCTCTCAGGAACGGTTCTGTGGAGAGGGAGAAGTTGCCAGTCCCTTCCCTGCCCACACAAACTTCCCGGGCTGGCCCACAAACGCACCTGGCCACGGCACCTGGAGCTGGGCACCGCTGGCTCAGGGAACCAGTGTCAAATGTGGCACTAGCCTTGATCCAGCCCCAGCAGCTGTGACTTACCCGTGCTGTTTTCATTGCAGAGCACAAGGTGATCATTGTGGGCCTGGACAATGCAGGGAAAACCACCATTCTGTACCAATTGTAAGTAGGAGCTGCGGGGACGCTCGGGGCATTTCCAGGTGTGCTACGTGGTTCCTCAGAGCTTTGCAGGTGGCAGAGGGTGGCTGGAGTTGGGGAAGGGCTCTGCTGGATGAATGAGGTTTTGTTCAGAGGGGTTTGGATCACATCACCTGCTGTTACCACACGCTCCCAGCCGCCCTTGGTGCCACGGCCTCGGCTCCCTGCCAGCCCCATAAAATGTGATTGGAGTGAGTGCTGGCCACGGGACGCTGTTGCAAAACCGATCCACGCCACGGATTTGAACAGCAGGCAGATCACTCTGCGAGTGGCAAAGCACCTCTGCCTGCCCTGACTTGTGTCCCCAGCGCTGAGATCAGTTTGGTGTTTGGGATGGCATGAAGGAGGAAGGCTGGTACCAGCACAAAGCCAGGACAACACCTCCGTGCTGTCCTGCACCTTCTGCCCTCAGCAGCAGCATTGATTTGTGTTTGCCTTGCGTTAGCCTTGCTCCTGGTTTACATGGAGCTCAAATGAGTTTCATATCTCAGTTCCTCAGCTGCAGTTTGATAGAGGACACCAATCTGTCCACAGGCTCAGAGGCTGCTGCTGGGTGGCACAAGCAGCTCAAGGTCTGTTTGTGCTGGGGACAGATTGGCCCTTTCCCACGTGCAGTGTGTGGCACTGAGGAGTGTTCCTGAGTCAGAAATAATTCCTGTTAAATGGTGTGGCCATGCTGCTCCAAGCCCACATTTAAAATTGGCTTTCTGAAGTGCTTGGGGTTTGTCACATTCCAACCTGCTTTGCCTTTCCCAAAACATTTCTGGCTGCTGGTGCCCTGGCACGCTGCAGGGAGAGTGAAAGGTGAAGGTGATGGTGATTTATAGAGGGAGTGAGAGATGTTGAAAAGCACAAACAGAATGAAGGGTATTTCTTAAGACTGGAAACTGCTGCAGCTGAGGGCCGTCCTTGGTGGTTTTTAATCCACTTCCTCCACAAATGTCTCGCAGTTCTTCCCCTTATTTCTGCAGTTTCAGTGTTTTCTTTTCCCTCTCATACAGATCTCTGTCTGTCTCCTTTTCCTTTGTACCCACTTTGACTCCACAGGACTGTCCCAGCTTCCTTATTCTCCTGCCTTACTCCTCCTTGACCCTACCCCATCTTTGCAGATCCCATTTTTCCTCTTGCAGACACTTCCTTTTCTCCCATTCTCATACTCAGCTCTCCTTGCACTGGCCCAGGGTAACTGGGATTGCTTTTCAGAGCACTGCAGCATCCCTCTATCTCCTTGGCTCTCTGTATCCTCTTCAAGAAATATCCCAGCACCATTACAAGTCTCAAATTGCTGTCACTGTAACTAAAAGCTCTGCTGGAACTTCAAAAAGGTTCATACAAAATGAAAAGCTATATCAAGATGATCAGAAGAAAAAATAATTAAGTTCTTTTGAACACAGATGGATTGCCTTGGAGCTACTGTTAATTTTTTTGCCTGTTACAGTCGAGTTTAAATAGTCTGAACTTTGGGAGCATCCAGAGCACACATTTGGTTGTTTGATGTGAAACTGGTGTTCTTAGTGACAAAGTCACACTCAGTATCACTGAACAGTACATCTGAAATATTTAATGGCTGCATTAGTCTCCAAAAAGTTGTATATTGGACTGTGCTGAGGGGAGAAGAGGAGGAAGTTAGGACATGGAGCATTGTGAAGAAAGTCTGGTTTTAGTGGCCTGTCCTGGAAGGAGAGTGGGATGGAGTGGGTGAAGTGTCTCTGCTGGAGCTGGAGGATGAGTTGTTGTTTTTCTGAAACTTGGAAATCTTGTGGCTTAACCACATTCTTGAAGCAAAACAACTGCTCTGTCCCCTGTGAGCCAAAATGGGCCTGGAGAAAGAAGAGCTGAGTGCTCCCAAAAGCTTCTGAAGCAAAAATGCTCTCATCTCCGTGGTTTAATTAATTATAACACATTTTGTTCACAAGTGCTCTCTCAGCTCTATAATTTGATTATTACATAGTTCACTGAGTCCTTTTTATTGCTGTTTTTATTTACGTTTCTGCACCTTCCGCCATCAGCCCTTGCCTTGGCTGCCCAGGGAGCGTTTGCTGAGGTTCTCTCCCTGGGCTGCAGTTGCAGGGTGACTTTGGTGACCGTGCTGTCCCTTTCCCTGCGCAGCTCCATGAACGAGGTGGTTCACACCTCTCCCACCATCGGCAGCAACGTGGAGGAGATCGTGGTGAACAACACGCGCTTCCTGATGTGGGACATCGGGGGCCAGGAATCCCTGCGCTCCTCCTGGAACACCTACTACACCAACACCGAGGTGACAGCCCTGCCACGCTGCCATCTGTCACTGTGCTGTCCTTCGGGCCGGCCTTTGTGCCCTCCCTGCTCTGGGAATTGCAGACCCCCCTGCCCGTGCCCGTGCTCGCTCTCCCTGCAGTGGAGGGAGCCCCAAAGTTTCCCTGCAAAACCTTGGCAGCTCTGTCTCACAAGCTCCAACACCCCCAGGAGTTTTCAGAACTCTTCAGAGGTGCAGTTGCAGTCCACACACACATATGTGTATATATATATATACACATATGTATATTTTATATATATATATAAAAATATAAATTTTATCAAGCACACAACTTCATAAAAATAATGCTTTAAATCAAGGTTTCCTATGCATTATAAAATACAATCTAAATACAATTATATATATTACATAAATGATGTTTTGCGTGGTGGTGAAATACAATTATCACAATAATTAGCTTTGTTCTCCAGTTGGTCCCTATGAGGTGCTGTGATTCCTTAAAGTTCTTTTCCAGCCTAAATGAAGCTGGGAGTGTGTTCTTGGAGTTTGGAGCCTCAGGACTTTTTTAATCCTGTGCAAATATCTATTTGCATGTTAGTTCTTGACCTAGACAGAGAAAGCTGGTGCACTTTGTTTTAAAGACTGCAACAAATTATTTGAGGGATCTGTGTGGTGCCTCAGCTACACCAAGCAAGGAACAAAACCACATCTGGGATTACTGAGAATTTTCTTGCTCTCAATATGAATTTTTCATTGAAGAATGGAGAACAGAAAGTAAAAAGTTGTGTCAGAGCTGCCTTTGTACCCAAAGCACAGCACAAGAGTGAATAACCCCAGGCCTGTGGGATTGCTGGGGCTGGAGGGAGGTTTGGGAACAGGGATGGGGTCTGATAATCCAGCTGGATAATGGGAACAGCAGGAGTTTCTCTGCCTAATAACTCTCCCTTTTTGCAGTTTGTCATAGTTGTGGTGGACAGCACAGACAGAGAGAGAATTTCTGTGACTAAAGAAGAGCTGTATAAAATGTTAGCACACGAGGTGAGTGCACCCTGTGTCTTTAATATTTATTTTAATATTTATTTTAATATTTATTTTAATTATCTGGCTGATACACGCCAAGGGAAGCAGATTTACACCCTGAACTGCCTTGTCCCTGCTGCACTGGCTTCTGTGAAACTCCCAGCAAAGCTGTTAGTTAATGCTGAATTACAGAAGTAGCCTGTCAGTGCTCCAGTGAAACAGCAGTTGGGACCTGTCAGGGACATCTGTGGGTTTTGTACTTCAGTCCATGTTAATGTCTGAATTAGAGCCTTTAAATAATAAAACAAATTATCCTGCAATAATTTAATAATTATTTTTGAGATCTTCATGGTTGCCTGAGGCTTTACAACCTTACAATGTGTGTTAGAGCACCCAGCTCTAAAACTGAAGGGACTTCAGCCCATGGCTGCAGCAGCCATTGCTCTGTGGGTATTTGGAATTCCAGAGTGGGAATTGCTGAACTGTACAGACCCTCCTTAAACCTGAGCCTTGGGTCAGGTCTGAACCTGAGCTGGGCTGATGTAAAAGCCAGGCAGCATCTGTGGCATGACCTGAATGCAAACTGGATCAGGGTGTGTGAGCTGACACCGAGCTTCCAAATTTAAGTGTCAGAATAAAAAAATGTGCATAAAAATGATGGCATTATAGCCTAAAATATTCCATCTATATTTAACCTATAGCCACAGTCTGGGAGCCTGCAGGAAGGGCTCAGCCTGCCTATGGATTTCCATGGAGGGAAAACAAGGGCTTTGCACAGGATCTTTCAAGTTTTAATTTTTTTGTGGGTTTTGTTTTATTTTTGTTTGAGGGTTTTTAGTTGGTTTTGTTTGGTTTTGTTTTTTAATTTTTTGATGTTTAATTTAAATCGTTTTTAATAAAGTAAATTCTAACAGAGCAGGTCGGGCTGTGGGGTGTTAAGTGTGCCACGGGGGTTGGGTGCTGCTGTCCAGGATTGGGATTTCTGAGCCGGGCTCCTCAAAATCCTGCATCTTCTGTTTCCTGATCTCTCAAGGAAGATGAAGTTGTTAACGAGCTGATTTTGCCGCAGGGAAGGTCTGGAATTCCAGGCAGAGTGGAGCCGATTTGGGAGCAGTGAATGTGCCCTTTGTGTCCCAGCAGGATGTTCCCAGGCTCCCTCTCCAGACGTGGCTGTGACGTTGGGAGAGAGCAGAAATGAAAGTCAAATATTGATTTTAAATCGCTTTTCTTTGCTCCTTGAAAATCTTTTCTTTCTCCTAGCCAGTTCCATGGAGTTGCTGTTAAGGCAAAATTGAGTTGTCCAGATCAGTTCCAGCTATTTTCTGGAGCAGTTGATTATTTGGGAATTAATTTGGCTGCTTGTAAACAGGAGTGTGCCTGATAGGCAGCTCAGTGCTGAGCTGGCCTGGCTTCCTGGGAACACCTTTTTGCTTTCCAAGGGAAAGATTTTCAATGATATACCCATGCCTTCGTGTAATTCCAGGCAATTTGAGGTAAAATAAGCTCATCCCTGGAGTCACTGTTCCAGATTGTCAGTGCTGCTCAGGTACAGGGTGCACAGGGCTCTGATCCTCATGCAGCTCAGCAAAACGTTGTCCTGAGATTTTTACTCCTCATCCATGGCAGGAATTGGCTGTTTGGTGAGCTGGATCAGAGGATTTCCTGCAGCTCCTGCCAGCCTGCAGCTCTTTGCTCTGGGGCTCTGGCTCCCTGCTTTGGTGTCCCCTCCTGTGCCTCCAGTGACTGCTCTGCTCTGTCATGACCTACTCTCCTTTCTCCCCAGGACTTGAAGAAAGCAGGGCTGCTGATCTTTGCTAACAAGCAGGATGTGAAGGAGTGCATGACAGTAGCTGAGATCTCCCAGTTCCTGAAGCTGACTTCAATTAAGGATCACCAGTGGCACATTCAGGCCTGCTGTGCTCTCACTGGAGAGGGGTAAGGGGGATTTGTGTCCATGGGAGGGGAGTCTGGAATTACTCTGGGGGGTTGTATTGTGGTATTTGGGTTTAACACACATTCCTCCCCTGTCCAGAATCCCAGAATCCCAGAATGGTTTGGGTTGGAAAGGACCTTAAAATCATCCCATCCCAGCCCTGCCTTGGAAGGGGCACTTCCCACTGTCCCAGGCTGCTCCAAGCCCTGTCCAACCTGGCCTGGGACACTTCAGGGATCCAGGAGCAGCGCAGTGCCAGGGCATCACAGCTTCATAATCTTGATATTTACAAGATTTTTGGGCTCAGAACACCAAATCTACATCAAACCCACAGTGCCACCTCACAGAGATAAGACTTGATATGATTTGGGCTTAAAGAGGGTGGGATGAAGTGGAGGCAAACTGAAATGTGGTTTATTAAGAATGATCCTAATTAGAGAGAACTTCATGTCTTGAAGATCTGGGATCTGAATTCTCTGGCCATAGATGATATAACAGGATCTGGAAAGTGCCATACAGGGAGTCAAGACTTTCCAGAAATGATTCAGAGTTCTTGGGAAGGGTTTAAATTGGTGCTGTGGAGTTACCTTTGGGGTTACCCTGAGAATTCCCTAAACCTTGTCTCTTGTGTCCCCAGGCTGTGCCAAGGACTGGAGTGGATGATGTCCCGCCTGAAGATCAGATGATTTTTAATGACCTCTTTGCACAGACATTGCTGCAGCAGAGCTGTTCCAGTGGCAGACTGGTGGGGTGGATGTATTTATACTGAACTGATGGCAACTGTATTTTCTACATAGCTGCACACACACACACACACACACACACACAGGGACAGGAGCTGGGAGCAGGCACAGGAGCAGAGGAGCACTTGGGGCTCCAGGTTGGTTCGGAGGACGCGCTCAGAGCTGTGACCAACCTTCTTTTGAAGCCGCCCCTCGGAACAGTCCGGCCTCAGGCGTGGGGAGGATGGAGCGAGAGGAAGGAGCTTTTAATTTCGAGTTTCATTATCCCATTGTAGCCCTCTCCAGTGGAAGGTGTTGGCTTCATTATCCCAGTAAATCAGCGAGCCAATCACTGGCGTAGGTATCGACTCTCCGGTATTTCTGAGGCTGCCGATGTTACAAACGCAGAACTCTTTTCCTGTATGTGTACTGTACATATTTGTGTATATTTATACCTCAATCCTAGGTTAATTGCAATCTGCTCAGACCAGTGGAAAGCTGAATCAGTATGTTGGCAGTAGTGCTGATCTGTGACACGGCCACGTCCCCGTGTCAGCAGTCCCTCCGCGTCCGTACGCTGTAACGTCAATCACACCTTGGCTCTCCACAACCTGATCAACAAACTCTCTCTTCAGCCCATTGCTTGTTTTTCCACATGATTTTTGGATTAGGGAGGAGGCTGGAATGGATTGAAGCACATGGATTGAGCTTCGAATTCCAGGGCTGGCAAACAACAAATTTGCCAAAGAGTTTCAGATGAAATGGGTTTTCCTCTTTTATTGTGGTCATTGGATTGGGTGATGCTGCAGGTCCTGTCCACTGCTTTCCTTCTCTGCCTGCTGGTTGATTCAGGTCTGGCAGAAATACCTTTGGCTGTCAAAAAGGGAAAAGTATCTTTTTTTTCTTAACCAAAGAAGAGGCACAAAAGCATGTTTGAAAGTGTCGCTGGAATCGTACAAGGCAGACTCTAATGAAGTGTTTTTCAGAGGAAACACTCTCTTTGCTACATAAAATGTGCAGATACTAAAATGTGCAGAGGTATCAGTATGCAGTGGAGGGGACTGGATGGGTACAAAGCAGATGACACTACTTGAGAAGCTCCAAGTGACCCACACGAGTTCCAGGGCAGATCTTGAAAGCAGAACTCCCTTGCATGGTCCCCAGGCAGTGTGAGAACACTAGGATCACCTTTCCCTGCTGCAGCTCCTGCTGGGATGGCTGTCCCAGGCAGAAAGGGGTCAGAATTCCCACTTCAGAGGATCCAGGCAGTTGGGAAGGCAGTGGGATGCTTGGAAGTGCCAGGCTCTTTTGTGGGAGATGCAATGGGAGTTCAGCAAAATGAAACTAAACTGTGTTTAAAATGTTCTTCCCTTTCTCAGCCCCTGTGTCTGGTAAGGATGGAAAAGGCATTTTAAAGACATTTTAAAGCTTAGTTTGAACTTTTTAAGGTGCTTCTCTTTGGTTCTGGGATAATCTGGTCAGCTCCTGCCTTCCTGCCCACCTGACTCCCTGGGAGCATGGGAATCCTGGGGAAAGGAGGGGAGGCAATCTCTAAGTCTGTATTTAACAAAGGCAGGTAAAGAATTTAACTTTTTAATCTATTTTTGGTATCTCCAACGCTCCCTGGCTGGGGGATCTGCTGTCTTTGTTAAACATTAAGGTGTACATGCATATATCTCTAGTGCATGCACATAGATCTTGGTATTTAACTGGTGTATTGCAAAATGTATCAATGTTTGAAGAATTAACAATTTAATGCAAAGACTCTCTCAGTTTCTCTGACAGTATCTACAAGCAACGAGCTCTGTGCACACTTGCATATGAAATGGAATTGTACATTTTCTAGTCTAAAAAAAGAAAAAGCAGACTTGCTTCTAAACCCAAGTGTTTGGTTTTTGAGTCTTATGTCTTCCCTGGGCTGAATCCACTCAGGCTGGGTGAGCTGGGGGCTGGCTGGTCAGAAAAGGAGCTCTTGCTGTTGGTGGTGGAGCAGTGTTGGGTTTCTGCTGCTCGGCTGTGCATTTGCAGGGACTCTGTCAGGCGATGCAGGCGTGGTGGTTGCTGCAGGTGTGGGCTGTGGTACAAGCACATACTCTGTGTTTACACATCACTTAGGTTGGTTTTACTCTTTCCCTCCCCGTGCCACTTCCCTTGCTGTGGCCTCTGAGGTTCACCTTGTCTTGGTTTCCCCAGTGGCCACAGAGCCCAGCAGGGCCTGGGAGTGACTGCTCAGGGCAGGACTGGCTGTCAGACAGGGTTTGCTGTGCCCTGAGGGGTTTAGAATGCCAACATCCGATTGTTCTCTGTGTGCTGGTCAGTGAACAACCCGGTGTTTACCTGACTGCAAACATCTCATGGGTCACTGTGAGCTTTCCGTGGATTTTGTGTTTTTCAGGGCAAATGTAGCCAGGATTCAGCGGTGGCTGATGTTTGCTGACACACTGTGGTGCTGTCCAGAGCTTTTGGGGTTTAAATGCTGATTTTCAGTCTGTGGGGATGGTGGGATCTGTCAGCAGAGGTGACAATTCCAGACTCACCTGGAGTGGTTGCTGTGATCAATTCCAAACTCACCTGGAGTGGTTGCTGTGATCAATTCCAGACTGATCAATTCCAGACTCACCTGGAGTGGTTGGTGTGATCAATTCCAGACTCTGTGATCAATTCCAGACTCACTGCAATGGTTGCTGTGATCTATTCCAGACTCTGTGATCATTTCCAGGCTCTCACCTGGAATATTTGCTGTGATGGTGCTTTGAAGTGCATGTGTGTTTTAAATTTAGTCACTGAGAAGATCAGCCAAACTTTTGATCTCTGGACCCCTTTGTGTTCTGTGTAAGTGCTCCTTGTTGACAGCTTTTTTCTTTTCCCTGTAGGGGAATTCCCTTTTTTCTCCCAGCTGTGTCCATAGAAAATCCAGGGAGCTTTGCACTGGGGGATGGCTGGGCAGGGCTTGCCTCGCCCTGAGTGTGACCTTGGTGTGTGCTGATGTTTCACCCTCGGGGTTCTGCTGCCTTGGCTTCCAGCTGAAGCTCAAGCTTTGCCTTTGTTCTCCATGAAATTCATTCTTGGCAAAAGGGAGGGGCCTTAAAAATGGTTGTTGAAGTAATGCTGCAAAATGGCATTTCAGTAGCAAAAAAAAAAAGTCATATTTCAATAATCTGATACTTCAAATGTTTATTTTGGTTGAGAAGATCATCAGTTGGGTAAATCATCTCTGGAATATGCTGCCTCTGGCATCTGGGAATTATACAGGTCTTTAATTGTGAGGAGAGGTGGAAAATAAACTTGGGGAATGTGAACAGCTTCATTTTTCAATATCTTTTCTTTCTGGGAGGCTGAGCAGCTGTTCTGCTGAGCATTGTGTAGGTGTGAGAGTGGTAAATGCACCTGACCAGCACCTTCCACATCTCTGCAGCTCAAGTGCCTAAAACTAATTCCACAATCAGCTTTATTTCCTATTCCCTTAGAACAGAGATACATATGCATAAAAGCCTCCCAGTGTGTGGAAATGAGTGGGTTTTCCCCTCCCCACACCCAAGTTTTAACAGGATTTGTGATTAATTTGTTACAGTTCTCCTATCCCTGCCATTCCAAGCACTTTGCCATTTATCAGGCATCACTGAGTTTGGGACAGGACATACTGAATTTGTCCTTGTGTCAGGGTGGTTGGCTGGAATTCCTGTCGAGGGACTGTTTAAATAACTCAATCCAGGAATCCTTGGCCTTGGGAAGCTCCTGGTGGCAGTGCTTCCTTCCATGCTGGCTGGTGGAACACGAAGTTTGTCACTGTCAGATTAATTAGGGCTGAAAAGTCGTTTTCAGCTAATTGAGATGAATGTGCTGAGCAGCCCTGGGCAGGGCAGGGCTGATCCCACGGCACCACTAGAGGAAGGAAAATGTCTTTGCACTTGTGTGATATCCAGATGTGGCCTGGTTATAAATCCAGATGTGACTTGAATATATTGTTGTGGTGAATACATTAAATGGCCAAAAATGATGAATTCTAAGGGGCTGCCACTGTAGCTTTTTATTTCACGTGTGAGAATCATGAGCAGGAATTCTCTCCTTGCCTTAAGAGGGCCTTACCAGTGAATGTTTCTATTGTAGCTTTATCCACAGTGGAGTCACTTTACCACCCTGAGCCTTTTAAGCCAGACTTTGGGTAAGGACAGAGCTGGGTGGGGTTTTTAAGCTTTTCCTATTTGTAAATGTACAAAACTCAGCTGAGACTGGATGAAGCCAGAAAATGCTGCTTTACCTGGGAGGCTGGCAATCCTTCCTTGGACATCTTCAGTTCAGTGCTCTCCTTGTCCTACTGGGGAGGCTAAAAAAAAAAACCAGCTCGGACTGGGGGGCCTTTAGGTGTGGGATGGGGGTGTGTGACCGAGGCATGGGGACAGCCCCGGTGTCACTGTGCCCATGTCGAGTGTCCCTGGATGTTTCACACCCAGGTTTTGTGCTGCAGCCCCGGTGTCACTGTGCCCATGTCGAGTGTCCCTGGATGTTTCACACCCAGGTTTTGTGCTGCAGCCCCGGTGTCACTGTGCCCATGTCGAGTGTCCCTGGATGTTTCACACCCAGGTTTTGTGCTCCAGCCCCGGTGTCACTGTGCCCATGTCGAGTGTCCCTGGATGTTTCACATCCAGGTTTTGTGCTCCAGCCCCAGTGTCACTGTGCCCATGTCGAGTGTCCCTGGATGTTTCACACCCAGGTTTTGTGCTGCAGCCCCGGTGTCACTGTGCCCATGTCGAGTGTCCCTGGATGTTTCACACCCAGGTTTTGTGCTGCAGCCCCGGTGTCACTGTGCCCGTGTCGAGTGTCCCTGGATGTTTCACACCCAGGTTTTGTGCTGCAGCCCCGGTGTCACTGTGCCCATGTCGAGTGTCCCTGGATGTTTCACACCCAGGTTTTGTGCTGCAGCCCCGGTGTCACTGTGCCCGTGTCGAGTGTCCCTGGATGTTTCACACCCAGGTTTTGTGCTCCAGCCCCGGTGTCACTGTGCCCGTGTCGAGTGTCCCTGGATGTTTCACACCCAGGTTTTGTGCTGCAGCCCCGGTGTCACTGTGCCCATGTCGAGTGTCCCTGGATGTTTCACATCCAGGTTTTGTGCTCCAGCCCCAGTGTCACTGTGCCCGTGTCGAGTGTCCCTGGATGTTTCACACCCAGGTTTTGTGCTGCAGCCCTCGGGCTCGGCTCTCCGGAGCTGTCTCGGGGCGCAAGGCTGGGCTTGGAGCAGGTTTGTACCCTGCGGTGCTTGGCTTAACAGCGGCTCCGGGCAGCTCTTGTGTCCTGGCTGTTCACAGAGGCGAGGAACCCGCGCGTGTCCGCAGCAATCCCCGCGGCGGGGCCGCCTTTCCTTTGATCTTCTCCGTACTTTGTACTTCTCTCCCTCCAGACTTTGTCATCTTCCCGAAAGGAACGCAGCCGGGACGTGGCTGACGCTGAGACTGCAGGAAAGTTTCATTTCAGAATGTGGAAAATGATGGCTTCAGATTAATCCCAAGCCTTGGGAGGGCTGGCAGCTCCCAGCTGGAGCACCCCTGTGCCTGCACTCACACATGGGTATTAAAGTCATTTAGCCCAAACATTTTATAGAGCTATTTATTATAGTAAAGGTAAACCAGGATTCTGTTAAGCAACTTTTTTTTTCTTTCCCCTGAAATTTGATCAGAGCATTCCTTGAATTGTTTCCCCTTTGCCACTTTCTGTTTTTCAGACTCTGGTTTTTGTGCAGCTGAAGGGAACTCATTCCATTCCCTTAATTCTTGTTGAAGTGGAACAAATACAAATTTGGGCTGGGGAGCTCTGTACCATCATACTTATGCATTTATAGATGATGCCAATTGCTAATTCTTTAAAACCTACCAGTATTTATGATTTTAAGTTGAAAACACTTGTAAAATGTGCCTGTTTGCTTTAAACTGTGTATGTAGGAGTTGCAGTGAAAGTTTTCAAGCAAATATGTGATTTCTGATCTGGTTTTTGAGGTGGTTTTGGGGTGAAATGTGCTGTTCTGCCCACTCTGTGAGGAGGTGGGGGATTGTTTGGTGCAAGTTTGGTGATAAGTCTGTGCTGGCTGATGTCAAGAATGGGAATTAAAATGAGTGCAAAATGTTGTTTTCCTGTCAGAAATGCTGAATCCCAGGGATGTGCCCCTTTTCCATACCCACGTATCCCACACAGGTACCTGTGAATGCTGGGGGCTGCAGGAAACTCCTTAAAAAGCAAAAGAGATGGAGCCAAAGCTGAGTTAGGAGATCAAATTCCCAGTTTTGTGTTCGTGGGCTGGATGTGGCGCTCAGGGCTGGGTGCCGAAGCGGGGGTCGGGCACAGGTTGGACTCGGTGGCCTTGGAGGGCTTTTCCAGCCTAAACACTTGTAGGGTTGTGTGAAGGGTTGTGTGAAGGGTGTTCCTGCCCAGCGCTGCAGCCCAACAGCCCTGGGTGCCATCTGGGGCTCCTTGGGTCCCTTCCAGCTGCAGTGGCTGCATCCATGGGGTGATCGCATGGAATGACCTCCTTGGGTCCCTTCCAGCTGCATCCATGAGGTGATCCCATGGAATGACCTCCTTGGGTCCCTTCCAGCTGCATCCTTGGGGTGATCCCATGGAATGACCTCCTTGGGTCCCTTCCAGCTGCATCCTTGGGGTGATCCCATGGAATGACCTCCCTGTAAATAACGCACAGAGACGGAGTTCTGGGGAATCAGGAATTGCAGCAAACCCCCTGTTGGGATGGTGTAGGAGATGCCAAAATGCCTTTGCACATTCCTTATCCTCCCACCTCTGCTTTTAGCTGTGCTGGCTGGAGTTGTTTCCTTTGGGACACGCTTTCCCAGCAGGGTGGGCTCTGGCTGCAGCTCCTCCCTGGTGCTGCTGCTCTGCCT